GCAAATTTATAGCAGCCACACACTCAAAACGCACGAGGATTCTAATCGTTGACGGGGAAAAAAACCAGAGGACCGGGTGAAAAATGCACGTGACCACGGTGAGATAGACACGCGAACTCCAGATATGCAGCAGGCGTTAGGTTTGGATTCATATTCTTAGGTTTTTTCGGTAAAGTCACGTAGGTAAAAAATAAAATTGTGTTGCCTCCGAAACGTCGTGATTTTTATTTTATTTTATTAATTTTAATTTTTTACCTACGTGACTTTACCGAAAAAACCTAAAAATAAATCCTTGCAGTCACGTTAGGTTCGGAATGGAAACGCCACGACCTCCCGTATACCAGGCGAGGTAGTTAACATCTCGCCACCGTGGCGCTGACACACACACACACAAGCTCCTAAACCGGCGTGTCCTTGAGCCCCTCCTTAACGAGGTCATCACAGACTGGATGGACAACTGCGTGGGCCACTTCAACCACCGCTACTTCCTCAGCTTCTGTGTCTCCATGACGTTGGGCTGCGTCTACTGCAGCGCGACCACCTGGGACCTGGTCACTCTCAGCGGTGACCCCGTGCCGGCAAGTCAGGTGGGTTTTTTTGTTGTTTTTGTTTTACACGGACAAAGACAAAGGTGTCCCCTTTGTAGCCTGCACGGGGATTGTGCGGCTAGTGGTCGCATCCCCAGCGGAACGCCTCTCTTGAGATGATGTACGCTCTCGTAAAATACGAAATAATAGCGGTTTCTTATGAATTACGTTTTCACACCCTTTAATTTACTTCTACGGAACTTGAAACATACCATAAAAATATCTTAATTTACAATCTGCCCCCCCTCCGACCCACGCCTCTGTTAGCATGCGTGTGTGGATATATGTGTGCGTAGTTATATGGGGGGACGGCTAGTGTAAGCGTTAGCGCGCTGTGCGTACGAACCCGGCGACCCGAGTTCAATTCCCGCTCACGGCCAACACCCAGTGACGATTATCTGAATCGGTCCTGGGCCTCCCCTAGGTCGACTCAGCCTCAAATGAGTTACCTGGTGCGGTGTGTGTAGTAAACATCGCCACTGGGGAGACAAAGGCGGTCGGGCGTGGTGCTGGCCGCCCACCCCCTCGTGTGCCACGCCAGCCCTTACAGGTGCTCGCTAACAGCACTTTCCCCAAACACTCTGTTGAGACTATACAGGGGATCTTTTTCTTTGTGTATGTGTGTGTATGTGTGTACGTGTGTGTGTGTACGTATGTGTGTGCGTGTAAGTGCGTGTGTGCACGGCCACTGCTGCTCATGTCATCGCTGCCGACGTCGCGACTCCTCCGCGATCTCCCCCCCCCCGCCCCGCACGATGACCCCGCACGATGACCCCGCACGATGACCCCGCTCAGGCGGACGCCTCCGACCTCCCGGACGCCGCCGCCCTCCCCGCGCTTGGACCCCTTCCGTCGCAACTTCCTCGTCTACGTCTGGGTCATGTGCAGGGTAACGGCGGGAGTGCGGCGACGGAGCCAGTCGGCTTGAACAGGACGGGGGATGGGGGGGGCCTCATTGCATTCCTTTGCCCCGGGGCCAAAACCAACCGCTCTCTACGCCGCTGCTCACACACAAATGAAACTCTCCGTCTTTCCCCGGCCATCACCCCCCCCCCGACCCCCACAAGTAAAACGCATCCGGAGGTAACCGCCGCATCATCTCAAAGAGGGACGGCAATCGAGGGTTTCATCGCTGGCAGAAGAGGTAATGATCGGCGGAAACGGTGAAGATACAGAGGGGGGTATGGGGGGGGGGTGCAATCGGTGGGGTAGCGAACAACTGCCCCGAGGCCTGCAGACTGGAACGTAAGTCCATCACATGTCGGGCTAAGAGGTGGGTGGGGAGGGGTGGTGGGGGTGTGTGTGGGGGGGGGAGAGAATTGAACTGGAGGGGGGGGGCATTAATTTCCTTGCCCCGAGACCCGTGCCGGCTACGCTGCTGATAAGAAGTGGCGGCTTTGTGCGGACACAAAACAGCGGGAGCATGCGCGCTGCGCGCACGACGCCTGCCGTATGTGTGTTTAAATAATACAAGTGTGCCTACAGAGCAATAATAATAATACTACAAATACATTTCGTATAAATGTCTCGGCACCAGTCAACTCCGCTCGGGGAACGCTCGAGTGAGTTTGATAGAATGAGCAAAGGAATGGTAAAGGATTGGGTTTGAAAGAAATCATTTCATTTGTTTTTTTTTGTCTCTTTCTGAAATGGCAGCTTATTTTGACATTGCATTTCCCTCGATTATGGAGAAAGCCGCACAAACAGAGCAACCTTGACTTTAGCTTTTAGGTTTTTTCCGTAAAGTCACGTAGGTAAAAATTAATAGTAAAAAATAAAATAGAAATAAATATGAATAAATTTATAAATCAAATAAATAGTGATTTTATTGATTTATCGTTATTTTATTTCTATTATTATTATTTTTATTTTTTTACCTACGTGACTTTACCGAAAAAACCTAAGGGTGTATGAATCCTTGCAGTCACGAAAGCTTCAAATCTAGAATTGACTTTAGCTTTTCATGCAATCCGAACCCTAATCTTTGCTCGCGCGAGAAACGCCTCGCTCCCGGGTCTCAAGAGTGGCTTTGCAGGAGGTTCCTGTGCTCAGGATGCCTGGCCGCTCCCTTGTTTTGCTGCTGACGACGACGTTTGGTAAAAGCCACGTCGCCTAAACGGCGCTCGAATGGGCGATCGCCCCCGCATAGAACTGTGGCCGTGGGCAACTTGCTGTGCGACCTTCAGCGATATCCATCCTTGGACCGTACATCCACGCTCATCCCGCGTCCCCGCTGGCCGGTTTTCACCGACCCCCCCCCCCCCCCTTCGCTGATCAGCGTGGTCAAGTATCGATCGAAAATAAATAAATGCCCCCCCCCCTTCCCCTACCCACCCCACCCCACCAAATGACTCGATTGGGATTGTATCAGAACAAGTATCCCACATGCTGGTGGATCACAGAGCTTGGGTAGTCGCTGGTGCCGATTTATGGCTGCTTTCCAGTTTGTGGTTTCCTGCCTTCTCGTTAGTCGTGACCTCTCTGCTCATGTTCTTGGTTCTTTCGGTAAAGTCACGTAGAAGGGAAATAATAAAATAATAAAAATAAACATAATAAAATAATTTTCACGACGTTTCGGCCACAACGCAAGCAGCCGTCCTCAGGTGAAGAACAGGTCTGTCTTGCGTTGTGGCCGAAACGTCGTGAGAATTATTTTATTATGTTTTATTTTATTATTTTATTATTTCCCTTCTACGTGACTTTACCGAAAGAACCAAGAAGATGAATCCCTGCAGTCATGAAAGCTTTAAATCTCTCTGCTCATGTTCCGATGTCTCCCCCGTGCCTCCTCCACCTCCCCTGTGCCTTCCCCGTGTCTCCTCCACCTCCCCCGTGTCTCCCCTGCACAGCGGGGTGAGCGTGATCCTGGGCGCGCTCACGCTGTGGCACGCGCGACTCGTGACGCGCGGGGAAACGAGCGTGGAGCGGCGTCTCAACGAGAGGACGCGCGCGCACGCCAACGCTCGCGGGCAGGTGCGTGCGTGCGTGCGTGAGCGCTCATCCTAGCGTGCATGAGTGCTCACTTGGGGATGCGAGGCGTGCGAGTGGCCACGCGTGTGCGTGTGTGTTTTGAGTTTCTGTGTGTGCGAACTGTCCGGCGAGTGGTGGTACAACGGTGACGAGGATCGCTCACCGAGGACCCGAGTTCGATTCCCGCTCACGACCAACACCGGTGACGATTATCTGCACCGGTCCTGTGTCCCTCCCCGAGTCCGACTTAGCCTCAAATGCATACCTGGTGTGGTGTGTGGTAAACATCGCTACCGGTGAGACAAAGGCGGTCGGGCGCGGTGTTGGCCACCCATCCCCTCGTTCGCCGTGCCGGCCCTTCGTAGGTGCTCGCTAACAGCACTTGCCCCAAACAGCTCGTTAAAGCTATACGGGGGGGGGTGGGGGATCTTTATCTTTTGTTCGCATGCGCGCATCCTGCGCCGTGCCGACCTCGATGTGAGCGGGCCAAGAGGGGGGGGGGGGCGGGTGTGTGGGGGGGGTGGTGGGGGGGGGGGGCCTTCGTCTTGCCCGCAGCTCTCATCAGCGGAATCCCGCAGAGCCTTCTTCCACCGCTCATCACGCCGATCGATCGCGAATTGATTCATTTACAAAGGGGTCATCGGAGCCCCGCGTCAGTTCCGTCTCCTTCATCTTGCAAAGGGGGGGGGGGGGGGGGGGAGATTAAAACATCGCCAGAGCATGAACAAGCATCGAGCGTCCATTCCCGAGCCATCCGCCAACCCGAGTATCCAACTTTGGAGCATAAAATTGTTTAAAGGGAGGAAAGGGGGTGGGGGGGGGAGAATACAAAACTGTGAAGCGAACCCTAAACGAATGTGAAAGGCTCAACAGAATCACGATGCGATCTGCGTTTGTCTTTCGTGCATTCTGCTCTGGCTCTCACCCCGCGTGTGGTATGACTTGGCCTCAATGGAGTACCTGGCGCGGTTCGATCATCGCCACGAGGGAGACAAAGGTGGGCGGGCGTGGTGCTGGCCACACACACACCCCCTGTTGTGTGCCGTGCCGGCCTTTATTGGCGCTCGCTAACAGCACTTGCCCCAAAAGTCCGATAAGGTTATACGGGGGATCTTTGTCTTGTACAAAGAAAGGCCGCCACTCTTAATTATAAAAAAAAAAATTGCAATTGTCCAGCCCCATCTTACGACCGCGGTTTTCCTGCACATTTAAAGGACACTGCAGATCAGTCTGTGTACGCGTGAGCAGTCATTGCTGCACGATGAGAATGTATAAGGTGAGGGGGCGCTTGGGAGGGGGGGGGGGTCCAGCCCCCTCCCCAATCTACGTGGCTGCCAGACGACAAGCTTGTCTCACAAGGTGTGAAATTCGCAGCCTTGGGAGGATTACAGCGAAATCTCGTGCGGCAGACTTTATTCTTTCTCTCTCTCTCTCTCTCCAGAGAGAGAGTGTAATTTTTTTTCGGCCAGCCACCCAAAGCCCGTCGAGATTGGAGTGGCAGGGCCCCCCCAGGGTCAGCCAAGTTTATTCCCTTTCATTGTCTGAAAGCTAAATTTTCACTTTGGAGGCCCGCGCAATGATTTCTTTCTGATTAACGTCCTCGTTCATTTTTCGTTTCCCACTTCACTCCTTGACGGTTGCCCCCCCCCCACCCCCTGCCCCTCACCCGGCGGGGCGTCTTTTTTAAATACAAGTCGACTGAGGGGCGGTAATTGGAATTGTAGGAGATTGCCACGGCGGAGAACGACCGACCGAGGCAGATGGAACGAGTCTCAAATTGTGCGCGCCGTGGGGGGGCCGGCGTTTTCGCTTCAAGGCCCCGCAGCTTCATCAGAGAAGGAACGCCTGTGGAGGTTTTTTTTAAAAATACTTTTCCTTATTCTTAATTTCAAGCGAATTCGGTGTATCGCTTATGACGAAGGGGAGTGTCCTCTGCACTTTTGCAGGTGTACAGGAACCCGTACGATCACGGCCCACTTGGAAACTGGAAGCGGTTTTTGGGAGTCGGGCACAAAAGGTAAACATCCACCTGCATCCTAATTACCAGGTAAGGCTCACCGAGCTATGCAATTCTTTTTCGGAAGCGACCTGGCCACAGATCATAGCTCAACGAAGTGGCTTATCACGTGGAAATGTATTGCGGCCAAATACTCTAAATGCGTGTTTATTCGAAATGTGGAGGGAGGACCCAGAGAAAAATCCACGCGATCACGGGGAGAGAGAACACGCTAATTCCACATATACAGGACGTCAGGGTCGGAATCGAACCCACGACCTCCTGGACTTGGCAAACTGGAGGCTTGTGAACACTTAAAACTGTCTCCCCACCCTATCCAAGATCTCTGGATAGGGTGGGTGTAGGCTCGTTCCGTTAGCAAGCGGTATCGTTAACACTTTTATCGGATACCACCCACAACGCATGGAGCGTGTGCGTGTTAAAATATGAATACTCGCATTCAAAACGGTGGTGGAGGGGGGTCCTTACTTGAAACGCCCTAGCCGAGGGGGTGGACTTAAAAGGTTCCGTGTAATCTGTGGTGTGGGGATTTGAACCCCGCGTCATCAGCTCGTTAAAACTAATCCGCTTCGTGTTCGCTGCAGCCTCCCCACGATCACTTTTAGCCCCCCCCACCGACCCCCCTTCACCCAGACTCGTGAAATTGTGTCTCTGCCACCCGCGACTGCCGTTTTCCTCTGGCTTTTTAAAGCTTTTCATATTCCAATTTGATTTATGCGGTTTAAGTAAAAAACTAGCGTCGTTTTTAGAATCATAACCCCGAAAAATTCTCACCTGAACTTCAAATAAATTGTCGATAAACCCCGCAAGGGCTAACCCTTGCATAAGTAATTCTCCATCTCACCGAGCCCGCATCCGATTACGAATATAAAGAAGTCAATTATTTCCGGACGGTAATGTGTGGCTGCACTCCACTGCTCAGTCGAGATGAGATGAGATTCTGGGCCCCAAGCCCCACCTCTTCCTCCTCCTCCCCCCAACCCCAATTTTGAGAACGCGGCTCGACGAATCCACCCGACCTCCAATCGACCGCGCGGGTCGAACTCTGCAGATTTAAGCGGTCACCTTTGCTCCGCATTCCGCCTCTCGAGTGACGCAAATTGCCGTCAAATCCGTTGGCCGAGCTCGACACAAACATCCCCCCTCCCCCCCACTGGTTCCGTCGCTTCACCCCGTATCCCGCACCCCGCCCGCCCGTGTTTCCCATCAGGCACTGGGCCACGCGAGTCCTGCTGCCGTCCGCGCACCTTCCCGCGGGCGACGGAGCGTTGTGGAACGCGTGATGTGTCCGCTCGCAACCCATTTCTTCTCTCCATCCGGTCGCTTCAACGTCAGCGTCCCCGCAACAAACGGCAGCTTTTCAACCCGGAGCGATCGCCGATTAGTCAACACCAAGCTGGAAACGCAACGGCCCTTGCCTAAGGCCGTTGTGTGAAACGTGCGAGTTGGCGGCCTTGCCAAATTGCGTTTGAAGTGTAGCTTTACTGCTGTTATTTGTGGGTACTTGTTTTAGTTCCAACCTGACCAAGCCGAGAGTGCGAAACGTCGGACATTGTGCTAAACAGCAGAGGCGGTACAACCCAAAATCACGCATCCTATGCAGTTGGAGATTAAAATAATATTTTTTTGGCCAATGCACATTTTTGAAAATTCAAGTTGAAGATTTTCATCTACTCTGGGCAAGGCTGAATTGTTTACAAATCAAAATAAGAGTTGATGTAGTGCCTTGAATTTACATTGCCCTTTTCAGATTTTTACTTCAACTTACATCTCATAATTGTAATTTAAAAATATATTTGAAATTACTTTCTAGCACTAGTCTCTACATACTACTGAACAATGCACTTACAATTATTTAAACTTTGGGTGAACGGTTGTGTTAATTGCGTCGAGAATTCACGTTATTCCCAGGCCCTGCGATACAACACTGTCGTCGGTCAAACCTTTTTTAAAAGCAGCGAGATCGAACAGTAACGCTTGGCACGCTCCACAAAAACCTTTAATTAGCACGATTGCACGGGTGGGGGTGGGGAGGGGGGAAGGTACAAAAAAGGCCTTTGCGTTAATTCAACAAACAACACGCCCCTGTCTCATCCGCGCTGTGAAATGCTCGCGGAACAGCGGAGGGTGCGGCTGAATCCACCTTGTCCTCCTTCCACTGGGCAGCCAATCCTCGCGGCGGCGGCGAACCCGACGGCTTAATTACAATTCGCAGTAAAGCCTCTTAACCCCCGGGGGGCCGGCTGCGTGTATATTGCGCAGATTTAAAACGTTACTGATCGCTGCGGGTTGCAGGAAGAGGTCACGCCCAAGATTGGTGGGAGTGAGCAGGCAGAGAGGGAGGTCATGTTGCCTGCCTTCATCGTCATCCTCCCCTCCTCCTCCTGCTCCCTCATCTTCCCCACACCTCTCTCACCCCACTCCGAGCATCCCGCCGTCGTAGACCAAGCGGGGTCTAATGCCTTGGGCAGAACACATGGCATGGCGGTGGGGGGGGGGGGATCCAATCTTCGCAGTGGGCGAATCCAAAAAGAAGATGAGCGATTAGGATTAAGGGCAATCTGTTTGCGGGTCGGCTGCTCGGTGTGGAGGTCTTTCCAGGTGCGAGGAAGGCGCCTGTCAGCAGCCCAGCATGTACCTGGCGCGGGCGGGCATGGCACACGCACGGCACACGACCTCATTAGCAGTGCAGACCACACACTCGCCCTTTTACACTTGCACGGGCAGGTGAAGGCACAGCCCTGCAACTGCTTGCAGATACCACTGCTGGTGGAAGGGGCTGCAGCAGCAGGAGGATATCCTCTTCCACAGCAGTGAACCATCTTAGAGGTGGTGGGAGTCCACTCACCCCCTTCACACAGGCGGGCTTCCCTTTATGCCGCGAGGCAGGCAGAGTCAGAGGAGGGATTCGAGAAACCTGCCCCACATTTTCAACTGCTACTCTGGCAGAACAAATAAACTACATCTGACACCAAGTGCCAACCATTACCCCATTGCAGCCACGCCCGCCACACAAAGCTATATACCAGTGGAGGACTTTCCCTCTCGAGGACTTTAAAATTCTTTTTAGCGGGCCACGCAATAAACAACACCGCCAACACTGACCTGCCTGTGTCAAGGGGCCCTTGCGGAGACAACGGCACCATCACATTAGTTGTTGGTGCCCAGTTTTCTAAAAATGGCCCTTCTTAGTCCCCAATTACAGTGTGGCTAGGACATTTTAAACGGCGGGTACAATTTAATGTGCAGGCTGTTTTCGAAGCGGTTATATAGCATCAAGGCCCACAGGCTGTGGTCCGATATAGTAGTGGGCCATACGGGGGGCACGTGGGCCACATGAACTGCGGGAGCGTGGCCACGTTTGGCCAACAGGCTGTAGTTTCCCCGCTCCGCGACCCCTCAGACGCTCCAGGTGTACCAGGTGCAGCGTGGGAAATCTGCGCCACTCACTGTGTGAGAAAAACTCCAGATGGCATCGCCTCAAGAAGCTGCCCCCCCCTACCCCCCACACACACCCCCCTTCTTCCAGTGCTTGGGAAAGAGCCAATCCAAACTGGGCACGCAAGGGCACCCTGGGTCACGTGGGGCAGATGCGTGCGAGCGAGCGAGTGACCTCTGCTCTCCTTGCATCTCCACCGGCTGTCGCAGCCCAAGCGCTGATTGCGTGCGTTAGTGCTGCTACACGCGTCAGATTGTTTGTGTCCTTTATGTAACTGGGAGATTCACGAAACCCATCGAGACGCGGGAAAACATCGCCTCCGTTCCAGGGAAGGAGATATTTAAAAAAAAAAACCTACGGCTGAAAAAAAAACCCTGTTTAAACAAGCAATCAAAATAGGCTTCAAGTGTGTTCTGCTTTAAATAATTTAACCTTTTAGAGTGTGGCTTTTTTATACCAAAGAAAAGGATATTTTACAAGCATTTGATATTATGTTCAAAGCCTCAATAAACTGGAACGTGTAAAATGTACAGCCCTTTGTGTTTTCCACCGCCCCCTGTGAGATTTGGTGATTGTGGGCGAGTGAGCGGACGAGCCGGCATTAGTGAGCGAGCAAATCCATTGTGTGTGGGCGAGTGCGTGTTTGTATGCCCAGCGGGCGACTTAACTTGTGGCCCAGCGTGCACGAGCGTGCCACGAGCGTGCCGTCGTTTGTGAACAAGCGAGTCGGTGCGCGTTGAGGCGGTCACGGCGAGCCAGGGGCCCAGCGTGTGCACGCACGCATGCTGTGTACTCACCACGTGCTGTGTACTCACCACACACTGTGTACTCACCACACTGTACTCACCACGTGCCGTGTACTCACCACACACTGTACTCACCACGCGCCGTGTACTCACCACACACTGTACTCACCACGCGCCGTGTACTCACCACACACTGTACTCACCACACATTGTACTCACCACGCGCTGTGTACTCGCCACGCGCCGTGTACTCGCCACGCGCCGTGTACTCCCACACACTGTGTACTCACCACGTGTACTCACCACGTGCTGTGTACTCACCACACACTGTGTACTCACCACACACTGTGTACTCACCACACACTGTACTCACCACGTGCTGTGTACTCACCACACACTGTACTCACCACGTGCCGTGTACTCACCACACACTGTACTCACCACGCGCCGTGTACTCACCACACACTGTACTCACCACACATTGTACTCACCACACATTGTACTCACCACACACTGTACTCACCACACATTGTACTCACCACACACTGTACTCACCACACACTGTACTCACCACACACTGTACTCACCACACGCTGTGTACTCGCCACGCGCCGTGTACTCGCCACGCGCCGTGTACTCACCACGTGTACTCACCACGTGCTGTGTACTCACCACACACTGTGTACTCACCACACGCTGTGTACTCACCACGTGCTGTGTACTCACCACGTGCTGTGTACTCACCACGTGCTGTGTACTCACCACACACTGAGTACTCACCACACACTGAGTACTCACCACACACTGTGTACTCACCACGTGCTGTGTACTCACCACACACTGTGTACTCACCACACACTGTGTACTCACCACGTGCCGTGTACTCACCACACACTGTGTACTCACCACACACCACGTACTCACCACACACCACGTACTCACGACACAGTGTACTCACCACGTACTCACCACGCGCGTGTACTCCCACACACTGTGTACTCACCACGTACTCCCACACACTGTGTACTCACCACACACTGTGTACTCACCACGTGCCGTGTACTCACCACACACTGTGTACTCACCACACACCACGTACTCACCACACACTGTGTACTCACCACGTACTCACCACGCGCGTGTACTCCCACACACTGTGTACTCACCACGTACTCCCACACACTGTGTACTCACCACACACTGTGTACTCACCACGCGGTCCGAGCTTCCACGGCCTCCTTGCGCACCAGCCGTTTGTGGTCATCCAGTGCCGTGCCCAGCGCGTGTATTACCGCCTGCTTGTGCGGCAGCACCTGACAGGACAACAGCACAGTGTCGCAACAACACCGACACGTCTCAGCAGCAACAGCAGCAGCGTCACAACAGCAGCGTCGCAACAACACCGACACGTCTCAGCAGCAACAGCAGCAGCGTCACAACAGCAGCAGTGTCACAACAACACCGACACGTCTCAGCAGCAACAGCAGCAGCGTCACAACAGCAGCGTCGCAACAACACCGACACGTCTCAGCAGCAACAGCAGCAACAGCAGCAGCGTCACAACAGCAGCGTCGCAACAACACCGACACGTCTCAGCAGCAACAGCAGCAACAGCAGCAGCGTCACAACAGCAGCGTCGCAACAACACCGACACGTCTCAGCAGCAGCAGCAGCAGCAGCGTCGCAGCAACACCGACACGTCTCAGCAGCAACAGCAGCAGCGTCACAACAGCAGCGTCGCAACAACACCGACACGTCTCAGCAGCAGCAGCAACAGCAGCAGCGTCACAACAGCAGCGTCGCAACAGCAGCGGTGTCGCAAACAACACGAGCGTCGCAACAACGCTGGCGTCACAACAACGCTGGCGTATCAGCAGCAGCGGGCTCATCACCTTCAGAAGTGGCTCGCTGCCACCGTTCGGCGAAGGTGGCGGCATTCGGTAAAATTGCGGTGTTTGCGCGACAGTGCCTTGCAGCGTAACCTGTACTGTACGTTTGCGTACCTTGCCTCTTCTTCTCCCCACGTGATTCTGAACCCCTTTCACCTCGGGGAAATTTTCTAAACAAATAAGAATTCGTCTTCTGCACGATAAGTCTCATTGTTGTGTGGGGTCGGCTGCTAATTTCCCCCACCCCCAGATTCACTCCTTCGCCTTTATTCTTCGCAGAGCTAATCGGTCGCTTCGTAAAAAAAAAAATTAGGTGGCGGGGGGGGGGGGGGGAGGGGGGGAGTGGAAATAAAGAAAGAAATTTATTTTAATGCGCCGAGCGGCTCAGAGTTGATTTGATGGACACGAAATGAAGGAACGGCGCGCGGTAAGTGGGTTTTTAAAATCGTCAGCCTGCCGCTTAAGCCGGCCTGGGCGCTGTGAAGACATTAGTATGCACCTTGTCGCACGGAAGTGCTCCCAATTGCGCGACGCGTTTAATGAGCACAAGGGTTGCCATGGTTTGAGGTCGTCGCGGAAAGCGAGCGCTCATTAGCGCCGACGATTGGAGTGGCGCGGTCGTGGGCCTCGCACGCAAATGTTTGTCATCGCCGGTGGCGTGGACCTTCGGGGTCAGGTGGGGGTGGGGGGGGTGCAGCCACTGCCGAATGAAGACGATTGGTGGCCGCTCGGTTTTCATGGATAATTTGGAAACGCGTCCATTCTGAAAGGCAATCTCCGGCGACCATTCGCGTGCAAGCGAAGCGATCCGCGGCGTTTATGCGAGCGGTTATGGAAGTGGAGGGATGGTGGTGGTGATGAGCTCATTTCGCGTTTCTGTACGGTGCACTTAAAGTACACGCGCTTGGCGATTGGAGACTGCTCATTGGAGACTAGCGCGGTGTTGCGGTTGGTGATCGACCGGAGAGCCATATGATTAGGGGGCGGAATTTGAGTTTTGTTAAAAACCGAGTTTGACAAAATATGCCTTTGTAATATTAAACTTGTGGACTAACTATGCACAGGGTAGATCGCCAATGAGAAAAATACAAACATTGGCGCGAGGCATAATGGAGATTCTCATTGGCCGCTTGGGTTTGTCCCTGCTCGATTTTGTTGTCTCCGAGTTTTGGCCAAAGCTTTGTCCAAGTTGGCCTGACGTCTGCGGGGTAAGTCCCTGACAGCAGCGGAGCTTTACACTATTACATTTTTTTTTCAATAACAGCGAAGCATCTTCAGGAAAATTATCGCGTCTCCCCCGTTTCCCCCCCACCCCGCACCCCCCCTTTACAGACGGAAACGCAAAGCTAATTCAGCAACGCTTTCAACTTCGGTTTGGAAAGCGTTATTAAAAAGGACAATCGGGGCTTGCTTTGCAATCACTGTTCATCAGCGCCGGCCGCGAAACTCGCACTTTTAAACCGACGTCTTAAGCTCCCTCGGAGGAGCGACGCCATCGACCGACGCGGTTGGATTTGCGCGAGAAGCGCTCTCGGGACGCGCCGGAGATCGCATCGCAGATTGAAAACTCATTTCTTTAGAACTGCTTTTTGTGTTTGGTTTATGTCCTTCCCCCCACCCGCCCGCCCCCTCTCCCCACACACCTGAGCACGGTTGGTTCCGTACGATGCGATAAAAGTTCTACGTACGTACGTCGCCACCCGCAGCGGACTAGCGCGTGGCCGTGAAGCGGGAAGCGAAGGGCGACTTACCACGTGCGCTGGCAGCTGCACCAACGCGCAGATGCACTGAAGGGCTCCCATCCTCACTCTCTGTAACAAACAAGATGAAAACACACACACGCCGTGTATAAACTACAGAGGCGGGGTCGAGTGGGACAGCCTTGACCCGGGCGAGGCAGAGAAAAAGTTTGATAATGATACGACGGTGAAAGGAAGTTATGGCAACCGCCGCTCATGAAGCCCCACTTTCTCCGCGTGATAACTCCAGCTTACCGCAATGTTTACGAGCCACTATTACTGTAAAACATCTTTTTTTTTTAATACATATAATAAAGCGGCAACTGCACGGTTATTTGGAGAATTTCCTAAATATGTTTCCGCGCAGAGAATCTCGCGCTACAACGCTGCTCTTTGAAATAAAAATAAAAACCCCGGAGCGCTTCCATTCTGTGCTGCCAGATTATTATTCTGAAATGCTCTGCGGGGGGAGGATGGGTTGCGAAGGGGCTTAAGGAATCCACACGCAAAAGGGCTGCTCGCACAGCATTTTTTTTGCGACGCCGAACGCGGCAAGCGGCGCTTCTCGTAAAATAAACCCCCACAGGCGACCTCTGTCGGGGGGGGGGGGCCGGGCGATCGTGGAGGTCGCGGCAAACCTCCCCCCGGCGGGCCGCCGTGTGTTTGAGAAAGCGGCATTAAATTGGCGACAGCCGCGGTGATTAATTGAATCATTTGCGGCTCCGATTAACGTAATGGATCGCTCCTCTTTACGAGCTCTCATGAGCATGTGGGGGGGGGGGGGAAACAGGCGCACGGGACACGCGGGAACTTTATCTCGCGTGTAAGTGCATGTGTGTGTGAGTGCGTGAGTGTGCACAACCTGTGCGCGTACATGTGTGTATGACACGCAAGCGAGCGCGTACATGTGTGTATGACACGCAAGCGAGCGCGTACATGTGTGTATGACACGCAAGCGAGCGCGTACATGTGTGTATGACACGCAAGCGAGCGCGTACATGTGTGTATGACACGCAAGCGAGCGTGTACATGTGTGTATGACACGCAAGCGAGCGCGTACATGTGTGTATGACACGCAAGCGAGCGCGTACATGTGTGTATGACACGCAAGCGAGCGCGTACATGTGTGTATGACACGCAAGCGAGCGCGTACGCTTTTTAAATAAACGCTCATTGTCAACAGTGGTGACGAACATCTGAAACCTTGCTTCTGGGCCTCCCCAAGGTCAATTCGGCCTGAAATGAGAATCTGGCGCAGTGTGTATACATGAGCACGATGGAGATAAAGGCGCATTACCCGTTTGCGTGTCGTGCCGACCCTCAGAGGTGCTTGCTAACAGTACTTGCCCCGACATCCAGTTAAAGGCAAAACAGGCGATCTTTAGTCTTCGTGTGTCAACCAATTGTTGCATCCAAATCGGGAAAGTAATCTGCTCAAACTAATGGAATGGAACCTCTGACGGCCCCCTCAAGATTCCTGTTACAAAGGTAAAATAAAAATAAACTGGCCATTTCATCTGCAGTCTCCCTGGAGGACGTGAAAAAAATAAACACTCTCCTCCTCGACCCCATTCCCCTACCCCCACGGTACCCGGTATCTGATGAGAGACATCGCCCCATCGCGGTACGCCGAGCGACAGTTCTCCGCGCGGGGTTTTGCGCGTTCATCTGTGCGCGTGTGTGCACACGCGTGTACGTGCGAGTGTGTGTGTATGCGCGTGTGTACGCGTGTGTGTACGTGCGTGTGTGTGTACGCGCGTGTGTGTGTACGTGTGTGTGTGTGTGTGTACGTGTGTGTGTACGTGTGTGCACGCGCGTGTGTGTGTACGTGCGCCAGTGCGAGAGCCACGTGTGCAGCCTCGTAAAAAACGTCGTCGCTCTCGTGCGAGCGAGCGAGCAGACGCCTCGAGCGTCAGGCGTGCCATCGATTGGCCCGCGAGCCGAGCGCAGCGCGTGCAAACCGCCGGAGCGCGACTCGCACGGGAGCGAGCGTCGCGAGAGCCAGCCAACGATTGCCGCGTGCGCGTACGGGCGGGTGAGCGGACGTCTCGCGGGAGAGCGAGCAGGTGTTCTACGAGCGAGCCCCGTGCGCGGGTTCGTTCGAGTCGGTGACCTCGCGTCGTCGGGAACGCGCGCGGCGGCAAGCGAGCGACGCAGCCCCTCACCATGGCCGCGCTGCCGCAGAGCAGCAGGAGGCGCGTCACGAGCGTGTCGACGTGCGCGCTCAGGGTGAGCGGCGCGTCGCACAGCGCCTCCCGCAGCAGGGAGAGCGCCGACCGCTGCACCGTCGCGTCCGCCGAGCTCAGCGAGTCCAGCAGCACGGGGCACAGCTGCGAGAGAATCAGAATATTTGTATTTACACTTGGGGAATCCGATGTGCTGTAAAGTTATTTTTCACACATGTCCAGTAGTAGAGAGAGAGAGAGGTCATGGGGGTTACACGGCCGCGCGATGCCGCGGCATCTGCCACTCATTACAGATTTGCGGGTCGGGCACCGGTGGGCCACCCTGGTTAATACTGCCGGTGTAATCGAACGCAAATACTCCGCCGCGTCTGCTTCACGGCGGACGTTAAAGACCCCGTGCCGTGATTCGAACAAGAAAAAAAATTCCCGGCGAATTACTTAAAATCGGGGAAAACCACCCCCCCCCCATGCCCGTCTGTGACAGACAGCGCCTCCTTGATCGCCTTTGTGCCGTAATGTTGGCGGAAATAGCAGCTGTACGAAATCTCATGTCCGTACGGCAAGGCCGACGACGCATCCTCTACCCAGGAACTCTCCCCATACCCCCCCTCCAAAAAAACAATTACGGATAATATCAGTCCCAAAAGCCTATGTGTTGAACCCCCACAAAGTCACACTCACACATGCACAAACGCACACATATGCGCACACACACACACACACACGTGCGTCCCCCGCCCACGCACACGCCAACCGCCCACGCACTACCTCCACGCAGCCGGAGGTTCATTTCTCGCTTCAGCTGCTCACAGCGGGAAATCAAACCAAGGTGGAAATTCCCAAAAAAGGGCAGAAATTCCACATTCCCATGGCGCGGGCGAGTGTCTCTCTCCGCAGTATGACAGAGATCGGTTAGCGTGGGTCACGGTGTGCTGGATTTCGAACTGCCGAGTGTATATTAATCAACCCACATCTCGGTTGTACAAATTGGCACCTGTCCCCATTAATGTGTCTCCAGCTTTCCACTGTCAAAATAGATCATCTCAATGGGCTCTTACCTGGTTAAACAAAGCACGATGATACAATTGCGTTACCGTGCGTGCCGAGACGAGACGTGAGGCTAGCACGGTTGACGACATACATCGCGAAGCAAGTTCAAGGTACATTTATACAGGCGTGTCTAGTGGGGAATGTTATTAATTTTGTGCTCGTTTACACAGAAAGTCTCATGGCTCTGCGGAGTTTTTTTTGCAGTCCGGGGCGATGATTGCCGAGTATATTCCATATAATTGGTTTTTTACCCTTCTATCTGGCAACAAAACTGACACCTTTTTTACAAGGAGTCATGTTTGCATAGACCACAATACCTGCAGTCATAATGCAAACAAAAAACATAACTCTGATCACCTCTCTCTGTACCTGGGTTGCTCTCTCTATGTATCTTGGTGATATCTGTCTGCTTATATGTCTGTCTATAGTTTTCTGGTTATATTCTATGTCGCTATTTCATTATACCTGATGATGATTGCTTGTGTTGCAATCGAAACGTCGTATGCTATTATTTAATTTATTATTTTATTTTTATACGTGACTTTACCGAAAAAAACCAAAGAATAACTCTGATGATGTATGCACTGTCCTTGAAGTTGATTGGTCCACACCCGAGACAGCTTTCCTTAGAGCCTAGTCTCACATGGGTTGGACCAGATGACGCCAAAAGGCGCACAACCAGATAGAAGGATAAAAAACCAATTATCATATTCTTACTGCCAAATGAGGTTCCAATGGAGTATATTCCAACCGAGTGAATTGCGGATATTTCCCAAATTTGGAAAACTTGGACCATGACGTCGGCACGGGGGGGGGGCCCACAAGTAAAAGGGGCGTCGCTCGCACCGCTCTCACCGTGGGCATTTCGGAGAGGACAACTTGCTTGGGCAGGGATCCCAGTAGATGTGACAGCGCCCTCAGGCAGTGCGCCTTGTGATCTGCAAGGAGAGACAAGAGAGAGAGCGAGGGGGGGAGCGAGTGCCGTCCGCGCTTTAATTAAATGCACGGTCACTGTGGTCCCCGCCACGAGCAATGTGGCACAGCTGTTATCGCGCCCCCCCCCCACCCCTGCCCCCCCCCCACCCGCTCCCGCACTCCCACCTCCAAAAATAATTTAAAGAGCCAGCGACACCAGGGAAGATACTCGTCGTTGATTACAATTGCAAAAGGCTCAGCAATTGCAAAAGCAAATGGCTCAGCCATTGCAAAAAAGCAAAAATGGCTTGGCCGTTGTCTGTTATTAACATGGTAGCATGACCTTATTTAAAAAGGGGGCCATACAAAAACTCGGGTGATGCTGGGGTGGGCAGAAAGTGACACGATGTTTAATAAGCTGCAAACAAATTTGAAACGCTAAACAGAATGAGGAACGACGACACGATCTGCGTTTGCCCATCGTGCATTCTGCTCCGGCTTTGAGCTACCCCCACCCCCCCACCCTCCCCCCCCCACCACCCCCTCCACCACCCCCCCCACCACCCCCCCCACCATCCCCCCACCACTCCGTGTGTACGACAAGGAAAGGCTGAAAGCGACACCCATTAATCGCTTTCATTGTACACATTTTGCAATGCACCATCATTGTTTGTTCTTTGACCCGACGATAAGAACCCAGAAGGAGGGGGGGGGGCTTGAGTCCCCCCCTCCAGCTACCCACGGCACTATTGGTGTGAAACATTATTTTTATTTGGGGGGGGGGGGGGGATTTTTTTTTTTATTATACAATGCTTGAATTTTTGTTTTATTATACAATGAAAATGTATCACAACCAGTGTGTCTACGGCAGGGTCGGTATTTAGAAATGCAGCTTGCGACGGCCACATGCTTCTGTGAAATCGCTCTTGGGGGGAAAAAAAAACAATGACACATCGACTCCCAATGTACATTTTATTTCCCCTTCTTTACAGCGGGCGGCGGTGGTTGCGAGGTTTGGCCGTTGATGCTCCCGTCTTTGTTGAACCAGCGCAGCTTTCATGGAATTTTGTCGGTCAGATTTCAGAACATCGATTTTAATACTTTTTGCATTTTGTTGGAAAGTGCCACGCATGCTACTTAAGCAAATACCGCTTGCGCACACGCGCACCCATGCACGCACGCGCAAGCCCTCCCCGGGGCACATGAATCAAACCCTAGTTGATTTATTTTTTATAAACGAGCCACGCACGAAACTTGATTCATCAGGGTTTCCGCGTAGACTGTAGATGCCGCTAAATATGAACGGATCCATTTTTCACGAGGACACATCTGCCTTCTCCTGCCAAGGACTCGGGGCGATTCCTGCCTCTGGCGGTCGTGATTGATCTATTTAGGGCGAAGGCGACCCACTCCCACGAATGGTGGTCGCGTGTTGCTGGCGCTCGTCCGCAACAGCAGCAGCAGCAGGAGGAGGAGGTGTCTATGCACAGCCCGTTTCATCAATTCCCATCCTGAATGAGAGTCTCTCCCCCCCCCCACCCCGTGCCGTGCGGGTTTTGGGGGATGGGGGGTTTACTTTGACCATACTTCATCACGCCGGTCGATGCCGGTTTGCGAAAGCGGTGGGGGTGGTGTGGGGGGGGATCGCAGATGCGGAGTGCACGCCGGCAATTCGGCGATTGCTTGCTGGAGGTGTGATCGGTGGAGCGTACACAGAAGTACAGCGCAATGGATTTTGCTTTGCGACAAGAAAGAGATTTGGAAATAAATACCGGATCGGTGCGGGTTTACCCCGACTCGCGCCTGCAGAGTCGAGCGATTACTCATGGGGCAGGTGGGGTTGGCGAGTCGTGTGAAGATGGAAACACCTTTAACTGCAGCGCGACAGGTATATTGCCGCGAGGCCATCGGTGTGCAGTTTGAGCACCGCTCTCTAATCTCCAGGCTAAGTAGATAATATAATGATCAGCTAATTCACTGCGAGTGGTTACAAACGTAATGATTGATTGGACTGAACCAAGGCGCCGATTAGTAATTAACACCGAGATGATCTTTGCAGGCTTGGCTTACGTAACGCAATTATAACGTGATTAATAATAACTCTTTCAAGATTCACTTTGAGGAGGGTGCAGCTGGCGTAAACTGCTCAAATCCATAGTCCTACACGGCTATGCACCCAAGTGTCTGCTCACTGCCTTCGCCGATGCGCACGGGACCCCGCGTGGTGACGGAGGGTAAAATAACCCCGACGACCCGCGCGGAGCTTGGGAGCCCTCCGTGCAGCGGTGGGATTGACAAAAGCACTGCGGCACGTATACACGAGCGGTACACGCAGGCCTGTCACATTCGGTCAAGTCTTTTTTTTTAAATCCTTTATATTAAGTTCGCTTGCTTGCTTGCTTGCGTGCTTGCTTGCTTACGACCGTGCAAATCTTTCGGTCGTTTTTTAACCCACTTCCCGTGATCCAATCGAGCTGACATTTTGCACACAGACTCGTTGTGCGAGACAATTAATGTTCGTGAAAAAAAAATTCCTAAATTTTACACTGTCTAGGGAAAACAAATTAAATATTTAATTACCAATTGCTTAGTACTGGCAGACAATCGTCTGACCCATAGGTGGCAGCCATCTCAAGCCAGAGGACGAGAGGACTCTAGCCGCCACGCATATAAAGGATTTAGAGTGAAAAACTTTGTTTTTACGGGTTATACTTATTAATCCTTTATATTAAGTTCGCTTGCTTAGGACCGTGCAAATCGTCGTTTTTTGACCCACTTCCCGTGATCCAATCGAGCTGACATTTTGCACACAGACTCGTTGTGCGTGACAATGCATTTTCGTGAACAAATTTTTCCAAAATTTTACACTGTTTATGGAATTTTTAAAAAATATTTAATTACCAATTGTTTAATGCTGCCAGAGGACGAGAGGACTCTAGCCGCTCCGATGCCACGCATATAAAGGATTTATAGTGAAAAACTTTGTTTTTACGGGTTTACTTGTTTCCCCCTAAAGAATACTGCTGCGTTATCTTCGGGGCGATTGTCACGTAAACTTTCGAGATTGTGATCACGAATCACTGCTGGCAATAGGCTGCGGCAAAGGTTTAGGAAGAAAAAGTAGCACGTGCTACTTTTGCTACGGGGATAATGCAGCACTGGGTTTAGGTCATGGAAGGCCCAGAGGGACTTTCCAGCACCACCTTGCAGGGCCCGGCGGAAGAGATGAGAAAGAGTGATCCGCCAAACACCGTCGGCTTGGTGAACTAAGCATCTTGGACAGGGTTAAGAGGTCGGTTTAAGGTTAAGGCTAGTTGACAAGTGTTGTGATAATAAGAATTATAACGACTTTTAATTCGGCCGATACCACTGACACTGTGTGTGTTTTAGCGATGGGAGGATACCAGAGAAAACCCACGGCAAGCTGGGGGAGAACATACAAACTTCACGGAGAATCGAAGCCCGAAGCCAGGGCCTTGTTGCTGCGAGGCACAAGCGGTACCGCCGCGCCTCCCCGCCGAGTGATGGTTGACATTTAAGGGTGAAGAGTGAGAGGGCTGGGTGACGAGGGTTAAGTGTCAGGGCTGAGTAGCTGTGGCGGACACTCACCAGGCAGGGCGGAAGCGAGCTGCAGGAGCAGCACGTGCCCGTGCTCCGTGTACACGCGCTGGCGGAAGAGCGGGCGCACGTCCGCGTGCGCCGCGGGGCTCAGCTCTCCGTCCGTGTCGTTCGTCAGCAGCGCGAAGCCATCGGCCGCCGCCGGCCCCAGCTCCGGGTCGCTCAGCAGCTGTACGAGCTGCGGGGTCGGGGGGTTTGTGGCGATCACAGGAAGGGCCGGGGGTGATGTCGCCCCCCCACTGGGGCACGAAACTAAAACTAGTTTTGATTTTACTGGGTAAGGCCCACTGAGCTGTGTAGCTTTAAGAAGCGACCTGGCCATCACAAATGAGAGTTCAACCAAGTGGCTCCATCACGTGGAATTTTATAGCGTCCGAATACTCTAAAACGCACGTTGATCGTAAATGTGGAGTGAACAACACGAGAACCCGGAGAAAAATCCACACGACCGCGGGGAGAGAGACACCCAAACTCCAAATATACAGCAGCAGGCGTCAGGGTCGGGATCGAATCCACTACCTCCTGCATTCCAGGCGAGCTAGTTAACATCGTGAACATTCGTGTTAGACACTTATAGGAACACACGGATAACGCAGTCACCCTCCTTGAAACGGTCCAAATGAAAACGCGGTCAATACCTGGTTCACCAAGAAGGTCGCTGTGGGATGATATCTTATCACCAGCGCCTTTGTGAGCTGCAAGAGAAGACGGAGGGAATGAACGTGCCACGGACACGGAAATCCATTGTCCGAGCCGTCTACCCCGAGCCGGATGACTGAATAACGGATTGATTGACGTCGCCGCAGGCGTGTGCATCGCGTTCTTGCGCGCGAGCTGGGCGGGGGAGCGCTACGAACCCGGCCACCAGAGCTCGATTGCCGCTCATGGCCAACACCAGTGATGACTATTAGAACCGGTTCTGGGCCCCCCTAGGTTGACTCAGCATCAAATCAGGACCTGGTGTGGTGTGTAAACATTGATACTAGGGAGACAAAGGCAGCTGGGCATAGTGCTGGCCACCAATCCACCCATGTGCCGTGCCGTCCCTCATAGGTGCTCGCTAACAGCACTTGCTCCAAAAGTCTGCTATGCTTATAGAGGGGGGATCTTTGTCTTGTTGTACGAGCTGTAGCCTACATGCCAAGCCACCGCATGCCCAAGCAGCTTCTGTTTGGCCAGATGGGGCTAAATGGGTGTAGGGCGGGCTAGGGAAGAGATGGATTGGTCCAGGATGTGGCACTGATTGGACTGGCCGATGACTGGTACCAGCAGTGTCAAGATCGGTGAACGAGGTTCGTGAATGACGCTAGGTGGAGACGGTCGCCCTCCAGCAACAACGGAGGGCAGAGGCGCGACGCTCACAACAACGAGCGGAGTGGCGGGCGGCTAAAACACAGAAAGTTGGCAGTGGGCAAGCACGGTTGGTGCATCAGCCAGTCATCTCAGTCAGTCAACCAATGGCACCTGGGTCTGCCCTGTGACCTCCTGCCAGCGGACCTTTGACAGACCACGTGGCCTCAAAGTGCACCTAGCCTGGCACAAGCGCTGTGGTTACGTGACCGCCACTTAGTGGTGAACGGCCATTGTTGTTGTTGTTGTTGCGAGCTGTAATCGCCTGCAGAGGCTGTTTGGTAGAACAGGACAGACAGCTACCGACCCAGAGCAGCGAGACGAGGGCTCTCCTCCGCTCAGCGGCGGGCTCGGAGGGCAGAAGACCGCGATGAACTCTGTCCAGGAAGTCGTCCAGCAGGGAATCCAATTCCTCCCCTGCAGTGTGTAACGCGTTAAGGAGGGTATTCAATACACACCCAAATACAATGGAATAATAAGATACCTCCGTTGTGTTTCTTCACAAACAAATAGAATCAGAATATTATTTTTTTTTTCAGATATCCAATAGTTTCCACGGTTAGGTCAAGTACTGTACACCCTCCTGGCTTTCCAGAACAATATTATCCGGCGGAATTTTTATGAAACAAGAAAACTTGCGGTGCCATTCCCCTACATCGATGGGTGCCGCCAATTCAACCACACTTTAATCGCGATCGGGGAGCCGAACTCCAGCTTTGAAACCGGGGGGGTGGCAGCCCTCAGCGTCTCCGACCTGCCCCCCACCACCACCCCAGGAACTCCCACGTGCACGGCCTTGCCCACCGGTTGGGTGTTTGTTGAGCAGGGCCGCGAGACAGCTCGCCGAGGCCGAGTAGGTGGGCTCGTGCAGCGAGCAGCAGCACAGGTGCACGAGCGCCCGCAGCAGTCGGTCCTGGGACGGCACGGCCACCTGCGGAAGGCAGCGGCGGCGGGTTCAATCCGATGGCGCCTGAGGGGGAGGAGGGGGGGCGACCCGCGACGCACCACGCTGGCGGGCAGTGTTGACGCGGGGGCGTAGTACGGTGCAACGCTGGGTTTGGTCGCACACTAGCCCTACGTTATCCACCACGCAGCACAGGTCTGCAGCCGCCTACGACAACCAGAATCAGAATCTTTATCCTGGAAGAATCCGATCAGCTGTGAAGCTCTTTTTCACGGATGTCCAGTGCGCGGCACTCATCCATCAACCAAGCAATGTGCAGGCTAAAACCTGCGCAGCTTCCGAGATGCGGCTGCAAGATCGGTCGCATTGCGGGCGATTCGATCGCAGGCGGATGGAGATGTAAGGCGTCGACTAAATTATTTGCGACAAACACCGCGCCACCACTGCGCTCCCCCCCCCTCCCCCTGACCCCCGCCAAGCCTCGCCGACTCTTTAAATGCGTGGGGAGCAGAGGGGGAGGGGTGGGGGGGGCGCCATCTGTGGTGCGGTGTCAGTCGAACGATACATCGGCATCACGGCAGAAAATGGAAAATTTTCAATCTTGTATAACACTGCGGTCGAATATAAAATTCAGACAAATTGAAATGCACACCTCATTCTTTTGCCCCGACTCCATGTATTAGAGCGAATACAACGACAAGTTCGTTCCCAGCCTCATATATACACTTGCTTCTTTGCACGTCCTAGGACGGAAGCTGTAATATTTAGGAAAAAAATTGAGCAGGGTATAATTGTATCTTGTGTAAATTTAATGGCAGTGAATATTGCACGAATGTATGTCATCAAACACTTCACTGCATTTCACTGTAGCACTGCATATAACTGACCTTCAATTTGTTCAAATTCACTGCTCCGATACTTTATTCTCTTCTGCTTTCGGTCGCTGGGGTTTAAATTAATTGGAAATCGATACAATGTTGAAAATCACCGAGAAATGTCCATTTTACCATAACGTAGAAGCATAAAGTAGACTGACCTTTTGTCTCAAGTGCTGAAGAAATAAATAAAGACAGCAAATCCACTTTGTTGCTGCGTAGAATTATTTTTTAGATTCACTTTCAATAAAGAAACGTCAAACTTAAAGCGAATTTGCAAAAAAACATGTTCTTTCCGCTCGACCTTCTTCTGCGCGAGTGTAAAAATCCACCCGCTCATGAATATTCATGATGGGGGGGGGGGGGGTGCAGCATGTGGAGTGACGTCACACGCATTACACACACACATTTATTGGCCCATTTTAAGTAGTAATATTAATATAATACCGATGCAATTAAAATTTTCTACCGAAATTTAAATCGCGCACTTTGCAGTTTCAAAGCGCGCCCCCCCCCATGTAATATTGAGTTAATCTGTACTGAAGTATCGGGGTCCTTGTCTAATAAACACTGCGATACGATTCAAAATTAATACTAAATTACACGGCGCGCACTTTGGCAGCGTGGCAGCGAATGCGGCTCTGCTGGAGATTAAATCCACGCACGCGCACGACTCCGCGCCGAATCTATACACACGCACGTCGAATCAAGGTCGGCGCATTACCTGGAATGACAAAGCGCGACGCGGCGCAGTACTTCGTTAATTAAAAACCCGAGTACAAAGCAAAAAGGTTTTCCAATCAAAAACACACCCCCCCCCCCCATCGCCCCACTCCCCCACCCCCCAAACAAGAGTCCACCGACTCGCTGCTGATGAGTGTCGGGACACAGAGACCCCCCCTCCCCATCTCCCCCAACTTCCTAAATCCTCCGATATAGCCGCGTGTACGCCTACACATTCATTTTTTACAAAAGTCCTGGGCGTTTCTTCAGCCCACGTGTTTTCGCCCTTCGACGCCCATCGACGCTGCGTCCGCCGATGACGGAACCTTTGCATGGGGCAGCAGCGCCGCAACACCCTTCTAGCCCAAGCAGGGATTGAGCCGTTAAGGCCACAAGCGTAAGAAAGGGAGGCGACGGGAGTTTGAGAACAGACGGTTCCATCCCCCCCCCCCCCCCCCACCTACGGAGCTTGAAATGAGGTGCGTGGGCGGGAACGTCGGGCGGTGGGGACGGGTGTAAGGGACGAGGGTGCGGTGCCCAGAGGTCGCAACCGAGTACCCGATACCCGTACCCTACCCGATACTCGGCTACCCGTACCCAGCCGGGTACGGGTACGGGTAGCCGTTTGCGACCCTGGTGCGGCCGGGTACGGGTACGGGTAGGCCGTGAGTCACTGGGGTAGGTTACGGGTAGGAAACGGGTACCCGTACCCGGCCGGGTACGGGTATGGGTACCCATTTGCGACCCTGGTGCGGCCGGGTACGGGTACGAGTAAGGAATCAAAACCCGTTTGCGACCTCTGGCGGTGCCCCTCGACCGGGGACGGGCGCGGGCGGAGCATCGCTCGGTGGGAGGTTACTGCTAAAATGTCGCGCGCATGTTATTTTTATTTGTCAAGTTTTCCTGTTCCCCCCTTTTCCCCTTCTCCCTCTGCCTACCTTCGATTAGCACGGCTCGCTACGTACGGTGCGAAACAACTTCAACGTCCGTACTACTCCCTTCCCCTGGGCCTCTTCTTCCCCCAGTATGTTAGTTTCCTTCCCCCCCTCACCCCTTCCCCCCATGTACGTCTTCGTGCCCCTGCACGTGATCCCCACTTGGGTGGGGGGGGGGGCAGCGAGTCCAATCTCCTCCCCCCCCCCCCCGCTGCGCGAGAAATCGGATTTGCTGCTTGAGCAGTTTCTGTTCTCCACCCTGTTTTCGCGATCGGCGTATTGTACCCGGCTCGCGCAGAGTTGCGATAAAAAAAGATGGAAAAAAAAATAGGTACGAGCGTACAAACCAGCATGGTTCAGTACGGAACCAGCAGCTTAACAAAACGACGCTGCAGTGCAACTCCTCTTTTCCACGGCCGAGTTGTGGGTGGTGGGTGGCGAACTACATGGATCATCTTCTTGGTTCTTTCGGTAATGTCACGTAGAAGGGAAATAATAAAATAATAAAAATAGAACATAATAAAATACAATAGTGAGAAAAAATACAATAGTGAGTATTGTATTTTATTATGTTTCATTATTTTATTATTTCCCTTCTACGTGACATTACCGACAGAACCAAGAAGATGAATCCCTGCAGTCGCGAAAGCTTTAAATCGAAATTCGTGGCTCATGTCTGTACTCTAACCATTCGCTTGTAAGGCAACCCTCAAGCCCACCCCCACCCCAGCTCACGAGGTGTGGCTGCACCTCTAAGCGGGGGGGGGGAGGGGGGGTGGTGGCGGTTGTGACGGTGGCGGTGGTTGTGGCGACGGTGGTGACCGCGTACCGTTCGGGGCAGGAAGGAGAGGCACGCGGAGAGTAGCACCGTCAGCTGCGTCTGCGGCGTCGGAGATTCCGCCTGGCGGGAGGGAAAACGCCAAACAATTTACTCGACGGTACCAGCCGTGGGGGCCATGAACCTCAAGGGTTCCGATTTCTTTTAAGTGGCCAACTCCAGTGAATTATGTGAGAATTACTTCATATGAGTGTGTTATCAAATCATTCACTCTTAATAAGCACGTGAATACGTCGGCACAACTCAAGTGTCGCTACCTTAGGTGGTATCGATGTCTGCTGTGGCCCCCATGGACTAACGGGAGTGACGGGCAGGGATGTCATTATGTGTGTGTGTGCGTGTAACGTGTGTGTGTACCATGTGTGTGTACCGTGTGTAACGTGTGTATCGCGTGTGTTTCGTGTGTGTGTACAACGTGCGTATAATGTGTGTACCCTGTGCGTGTAATGTGTGTAACGTGTGTAACGTGTGTGTATGTGCAACGTGTATATGTGTGTGTAACGTGTGTGTGTGTGTAACGTGTGTGTGTGTAACGTGTGTGTGAGTGTGTGTGTAGCGTCTGTATAACGTGTATGTGTGTGTAATGTGTATGTGTGTCACGTGTGTACCGTGCGTGACGTCGTTACGTGGTGTGTGTGTGTAAATCCGCACTGCTCTCGCTCCTGTTTGGGGAAATAAAAATAATAATCTCAGTCGTCTTTCTTGATCTATCTCTGTCTGTCTCTGTCTAGATGCGTGTCATTGTGTCTCTTTTTCCTTTCTGTGCGCGTCTGTGCATGTCTGTGTCACTGTATTTTTTTGTCTATCTCTGTACGTGTCCCTCGGTGTCTCCCTGTCTGTGATTTTGTCTCAGTGGTTACCATCGTCATCTGTCTTGTCATAATCTATCTCTTTCTGTGTCTCTGTGTCACTTGGTGTCTTTCTGTGTCCCAGTATTTTGTTGTCATGCGTCTGTCTCATGATGTCTCTCTCCATGTCTTTGTCCTTTCCCCGCTGTGTGTCTGTCTGTATTGGTGTCTCTCTCCCTCTGTTCGTGTCTGCCTCACTGTGTGTCTCTGTGTCCGAATCCTGCCGAGTACACCTTTCCGTTCTGTGTGACCATCTCTCTCCATGTCTGTCCGTGATCCGTGTCTGCTATCTCTGGGATCCCATCTTAAAACTATTTTTTATATTTCACCAGGTGAGGCCCACTGAGCTGCACATAGAGCTCGTTTTCAGAGGCGACCTGGCCACAAATGATAGCTCAACATGTGTAAATTGATAGCACCCCAGAGAAAAAAAAACACAGGACCACAAGGAGAGAGACACGCAAACTCCAAAAATACAGCAGGCATCAGGGTCTGGATCAAACCCACAATCTCCTGGATACCAGGCGAGGTAGTTAACATCTCGCCATCGTGGCACCCACAGGGCCCCAAACGCACCCCACGTCCCCACACACGGCCAACTCGGGCGGACGCGGGAACGTACGTGGAGCGGCTGGAAGGAGGCTGCGGCTGCACCATCCTCCTGCAGGAGGCTCAGGTCTCCGTCCAGGAATAAGGACACGATTTGGGAAACGATGCCATCCGCCCAGCTGCCGCGACAAGGAGGGAGGGGATGCAGAGGAGGGCAGCTCGGATTTGTACGGTCGGTCAAGGCGAACGCAGCTTTAGTACGTATTATCCACGTGCAGAGTATGACAGAGAAGACAAGATAAAGATCCCCGCCCTCGCGTAGCCTGAACAGACTGTTGAGGCAAGTGCTGTTAGCGAGCACCTATGAAGGCCGGCACGGCACACGAGGGGGAGGGTGGCCAACACCACACCCGGCGATGTTTTACACACCGCACCAGGTACTCATTTGAGGTTCAGTTGACCCTAGGGGAGGCCTCGGACCGACTCAGATAACGGTGACTGGTGTTGACCATGAGCAGGAATCGAACTCTGGTTGCTGATTTTGTAGTGCAGTGCGCTAACCGCTGCACCATGCACAAAGACAAAGATCCCCCGTATAGCCTTAACAGACTGTAGGGGCAAGTGCTGTTAGCGAGCACCTATGAAGGCCGGAACGGTACACGAACGAGGGGGTGGGTGGCCAGCACCACGCCCGACCGCCTTTGTCTCCCCAGTGGCGATGTTTACACACCGCACCAGGTACTCATTTAAGGCTGAGTCGACCTAGGGGAGGCCCAGGACCGGTTCAGATAATCGTCACTGGTGTTGGCCGTGAGCGGGAATCGAACCCGGGTCGCCAGGTTCATAGCGCAGCGCGCGAACCGCTACACTACCGCTCCCCATGCACACACACACACTTCTCAGTGCCTGCCCCAGGAATCAAAACCCAGACCCAGCAGTGACTAGGCCGGGTAAAGCACTCGATACGGCGCACAGGCTATTGCTGGCTCAAGGTCTTCAGACAAAATCCCCTGAGCCCCCCTGCCTAGACACATGACAACCACACAGGCACAGGACATGGCCATCGATTTCCACTTATATATTGAGCTTATCAAATGCATTGTTAATGGCTTCCTTGCCGGCTGGTGATCGCACTCATTACGCCTCGGCACGAATGGCACAAAGGTTCACCAATTGTCAAATTGTAGTGAAAATGCCGGCGAAAATCGACAGCAGCCCTAAGAGGCACACTTGGACAGCCGCTGGCACCAGACAATGGGCAATTTATTTCCTTTCTTTTCTTTTTGAGGTGGAGCCCAGCTTAGCGAGAAAGGGCAAAAAAAAAACCTCTGTGACAAAGGACTGTGGAGAGGCTAAGTTTAAAGTGCCCTTCTCAGAGGAGGAGGTGGTGGTGGCTGCTGGCGGAGAGATGAGCGAGCACTGGAGCCAGCACAGCTGAGCTCCTCTGTGTTTACATTCACCTTACAGCAGCCACATGCAATTAAAAAGCGGGTCCTCAAGTGGCGTGTGTTGACGGTTTCCACATGACCACCACCAATGACTGCACGCATAAATACAATAAGAAAAAATCCACGTCGCATTAAATCTGGTTCAGCGCTTAATTTGGCTAAATGCCAGCCCTGAAAATTAAATATCAGTTTGAATGTGACGCATCTAACATTGCTCTTATTACTCTCGTATGCACAGTGGGTGGGAAATCGCTGCCCCAAAACTCCGTGGATTCGAGGGTACGTGAAGGCATCTTGGAGGAAGCACTGAAATTCCAGATTCCATGAGCGATAGAATCGAATATTATTGCTACAGAAGGATCCTGCATCTAAGCTGGACCCAAAGAGCGACCAACGTAGAAGTAAGAAAAGGGTTGCAAGTAGAAGAAGACGACCTGGTGATGATGCAGGCGGTGATGAGAATGACATTGGTACTATTTGGACACGTATGAAGGATGGACAACAGGAAAATTAAAATTTTTATTGGTCGGAAAAATATAACGAACCGGAAAGAGAGGAAGACCTCACAGAGAATGGCTTGACGACGACATCACAAGAGATGGGCGCCAGAAAGACGCGGCCAACTGCTTGCGGACATTGGCACGAGACAGAGGAAAGTGTAAACACAAGACGAAATGTGCACGGGGCGATCTGCCCCATGGATTGTGATCACGATCATCATGGGCCGTGGAAGAGGTCGCGCTGTTCTGCGAGCTCCAAATGGACACTTTGATCTCATCACATCGACACCGTTCCATTTATTCATTTCGTGTCCAATCAAACCCAACTAGGCCGGATCAACGACGACCAAATTGTGGGCAGAAGCCCACGCACGCTCAGTAGCACGGTGACCCGTGGAAGAAACGCGCTCGCCATTGGGCCAGCCAGATTACTCCTAATCTACAACTCCTCCAACACTGACACACAACTAGCATCAAACCCGGATATCACGGTCGATCGCACAGACGTTGGCATTTGAAGCGCACCGCAAGGCCCGTTAGGCAGAGGGACCGGGGCGTGCAGTGTTCTCTCCGCTCTCGATCACGGAGGCGGGCGTTCGTTGAAAGAGCTCAGTGCGCGTAAGCGTGTGGTGGGAGTGCAGACCTGCTCTCCGCCGCCCGGCTCGACAAGGTGCTCAGGACCTTCGCGATGGAAGCCACGACCTCCTCGGAGCGCAAGAATTCTGCGGCGCGTCTCGCTGGGGAATTTAGAAAAGGTGCGATCGAAAAACAAATGAATAGAAAAAACATTTTTACGCGAAAAATCAATTATTTGTGATGTGAAAGATGACGCGACTCAAAAAAAAACCCCTATATTATGGATGATATTGGTCGCGAAAGCCTACGTGTTAAACTGAAAGATGATGTTTAAAACAATTCACGGGCGGGGAGTGTTAAGGATATTACAGCACTCGATGTAATGATACCTGGCAAGCTTCCAACACAACAGCACTGTGTAGGCTACATGTGAGTGGTTGTGCGTCGTTTGCAATGACGCCAAGACTGGAGTAGTTTCCAGACAGTCTGAGAGACGCGCAGAGATAACCAAAACCCAGTTGCAGCTTTCAACAGACTGCTGGGGCAAGTGTCAAGAGCGAGCGCCTATTAAATTCGAAAAGGCGCACGAGGGGGACGGGCGAGGTCGGCACTACGTAGCCCGATGTTTGCACACACAGCATCAGGTACTGATTTAAGGCCGAGCTGACCTACTAGTGTTGTTATCCACGGCCGGGATTCAAATGCCACAAGACGTGGAAGAACACATGGGACCGCGACCGACACCAGGGGCTGCAGCATACTTTGCTGGGAGTCGAGCGACCGACTGCGGAAATCGGCTCTTGCGCGCTGGGGCTTTACGAAGGCGAATGAAGCCCAGACTGGTGTGTCGGGAAGAGGTGTGGGTCAGCAAGTGGTGTGGGGGAGCGGTGGTCTTAGTGGTTAACGTGCTAACAACAGCACGGTCTCATTTGATCGGACTCATCTGGACTGTTTCATTTTGTATTTTTGGTTGCGTCCGTCTCATCTGCAACCGTCTCCTGTGTCACCTGTTGCCCATTTCGATCTCGTTTGCTCTGTTTGTTTGGCTCGTTGAGTTTTAGCCTCTAGAAAATTAAGATTTTTTTTTTTATATCTACGTGACTTTACCGAAAGAACCAAAGAGTATAGAAATATGTCCGTTTGCATGACTGATTCTCACACGCGCAATTTTACGCACGCATCGTGAGCATTAGATGTTAGTCGACAAAACAAACATGCCTAGTTGCAACCAAAAAGTGCCCGTTTGGTTGCAACAAGGCATGCGATGATGCATCGATTAACTGATTAAAAATTTATCTTGGGCTCGTGAAACATGCAGAGTCGTGCGCGAGACCATTTCTTATTTCCGATTTACGAAAAATTGGATGCTTCCGTTGTATTCGTGCCCGCAAACCAGCATGACCTGGCAAAGCGGGGAGCAATCGAGCAAGCAAAGCAAGACGAATCGATTCATCTTTCCGAGAGCTGGCCAAGGTACAGCGGCCAGAGCAGAGTGGACCGATCAATCAATCATCACGCGAGCTGGATCGGGGAGAGCTAGTGAGCGAGTAAACAGGACAAACCGATGAATCGCTACGCGGGGGGGGGCGAGCGGGTCGAGAGGAGAGACTCACACGGGAGCGTGGCGCACACGGCCAGGCGTAGGAGGTGCGGCACGGCCGTGGTGTAGAGGAGGCGCCGGCAATCTTCGACTCCGCTCCGAGCCTCGGCCACAGACAGGAGGGTGGCGCATGCCGCCAGCGCAGCTTCCTCTGGAGCCCACAAAAAAAAACAACCCAAAGCAGCCACCAGATCACCTTCCACGAATCCCCTCCACACCGTCACACCGCTTCCCGTGGCGCTACGCCGCGCTTGCCAGTTGGAAGGTAAATTTGTGTGGTGGGGCGGTCAGACATGGGCGGTATCAAATGATGTGGTGATTTGGTCACAGGCTTGGTGTGGCACTATGAGTATTCAAAGTCTCTACCAGGTAAGGCCCACTGAGCTATGCTTTTTTGGAAGCGACCTGGCCACAAGTAATAGCTCAACGAAGTGGGTTATCGCGTGGAAATTTAAAGCAGTCACCTTGGTGCCGCACAGGGACATGTCACTGGTGGGTGCCGTTTCAAACGTTTGAGTTGGGATGCGATGTAAGCCTCCCATCACACGTCAAGAGCTCCTGAACACGCTATATGAATAAGGGAGAAAAAAAAAATCTTTCGTGACATTAATGGTGCCTGTCAGCAATCGTTGGTGAGATGCGGTGGCATTCAGACACTTCCAAACACAACATGTCATCCTGTTGCTAATTAAGAGGCTGCCTACATTTTTGACGTGCAATTGGATTGAAAATGGCCAAGGTTGATGTGCAGTTACGCTGCGTACAGAGATGTTTTTTTATCGTGTTACTTTTTTCATCGTATAAACATGAAGTCATTTGTCACAATATCCGGGAAATCTTCCCCGAAATAATGACGCTAAAAACAAACTGGTTGGCGCAGTGGCTCGTGCTCATAATCCAGCTCTTCGGAAGGCAAGGATTGGTGAATGACACATCGGCTGGGGGCCGCAGGTGGCCAGGATATTGCGGCAGTGCAAGTCGGTGCGCGTTCAGCCATGTGTGCAGACTTTTGAGTGCAATCCCCTCGCATACATGGTGGCTATTCTCTGGGTACTGCACTTTCCTTCCACACAGAGAGCCAAAAAAAAAACTCATTAAACAAGGAACTGGCAAAACATCCCGAAAACCAGACCAGACTTGAGACGCAGGAGGCTTCTCTGCACGAATGCCAATTACAATTAATACAGCGCGCGAATGCCTTTCACGGGCCAACACTACGATTAACAATTTCTGAGTCAGGTTGTGTAGTAAACTGCGTGTCGTAAACCCTTCTCCACCCGACACAGCCCATTAATGAAGTTGTCACGTGGTGAATAACCATGCCAATGTATTGCCCGTTTCAGCGGCACCACCGGTGCGCGTCGAAGAGCAATCTCACAACGTTGAACAGCGTCATCAGGCAGCTGTCGCGATTCTGGCAAGAGTCTACGGTGCAACGGGGCTCGTGAGCGGGTGCTGGGAAGATTGTTGGGGGCAACAGCTTGGACAAACTGTCATCTAGCAGTGGATTGATCATGGTGGACAATGAAAATGATGCCGGGAAGCAAGGTGGGATACAAAGCCCTCTGCAGTTCCTGTTCACGACACCCCCCCCCCGCCCTGCCTCTACCCACAATGCACCGAATGCAGCTGGTAAGTAACCGTTGTTTGGGCACGAAGGCCAATTGCCCCCCCGGCGACATTTGGACGGCGGTGAGGAATTCCCCCGCCACGTTTGCTCCAACCGTCACCGAAACATCACAAATGAGCCTTCAAATTAGAAAAAACAAAAACCCACAAAAAGACAATGGCAGGGCCTCAACTTAGCGAGCCAATTAGGCGGCGTATCGTGCGGGCGACTTCCTATAATTGCTGTGGTGAGACCAAAGCACCAAACTGTGAAAAAAAAGTGACATCCGGCACTAATCCCCGTCGGGATGTAAAGGAATGCGAAGCCAATTCGAGACTAAATGAGCCCACGCACTGATGATGCTACGGTGGGTCACATCTTATCCACCAGCGCACCTCTATATTTGAGTTCGGTCGATTTGACAAAGAGTGGGATGCAAGTCGTACTCTTCAGACTCTGCGTTGACGTGCAACGGATTTAATTTTGAGCACCGATCACGTTATTAGCGCATGCTTATTCCGGCTGCTGTATTATTACGACTATCATGATTTTACAACTTTGATGAGATTTCACACGAAGCGAGCCTGTGCCATTCGGTGCCTACTGCTTTAATGCTCAGAAAAACTGACGCCCGGAAAAATAAGCCCACAGGAGGGAATATAACGAACAACACAAACTATTTCAACAAACAGCGACTTCGGATAAACAGCGATTAACACGACAACATCGGCAACAACGAAAACAAACCAATAATGGAGCCGGCCGCGTCGCGCCCTCTGACCTGTGCCCGTGGAGCCGAGGAAGGACAGGAGGTGCGGAACGAGGGCGGAGGTGAGGCGCGGGTGGCAGCACAGGCGCTCCGTGCACTGCAAGGCCTTCCTGGAGCGCTCATCATCTGCCAGACAAGGCGCGACGCGTCACGTTGGGTAGTCGTCGGATTCTTTCTTCCGTATTGGCTGATGTAGACGTGGGATCAACAACTACAATCACAGATTCATCGGTGGAGTAGCGTATCGCTCGAATGTCTCCTTCGTATTTGCGGATTGGGGCATTGCGTCGTTATACGTTGTCCGGTCCGTTCTGGACCACAGTCGCACACTGGGAGAGTTTTTAAATCCTTTATATTAAGTTCACTTGCTTGCTTGCTTGCGCGCTTACGACCGTGCAAATCTTTCGGTCGTTTTTTAACCCACTTCCCGTGATCCAATCGAGCTGACATTTTGCACACAGACTCATTGTGCGTGACAATTTATTTCCGTGAAATTTTTTTTCCAAAATTTTACACTTTTTAGGAAAAAATAAATTATATTTAATTACCAATTGCTTAATGGTGGCAGGCAATCATCTGACCCATAGGTCGCAGCCATCTCAAGCCAGAGGACGAGAGGACTCTAGCCGCCACGCATATAAAGGATTTATAGTGAAAAACTTTGTTTTTACGGGTTAATTTTTTAATGTTCTATTTGCGCATCAGATATATCCGCATCTGCCGTGGTTTGTGCAGTGGATGCAGCATAGAATGGAGCACGAGATGGGGATGAGAAGGGGCACACACAGGCCCGAGGAGAGAGTCTGGATCGGTCGCGCCGTGTTTTAACGTTGGTCGCGTTCCAACGATCGTACCATTTCAACGATCGCAAACCATTTTTATCTGTTGGAAAGCGTCGTTTAAAAGATCGGACTTTGTGGGGAGAGACGGATTTATGAAAAAGACATCGTTAGTTTACCTATTTTTTAATTTATATTCCCAGCAATGCCGCAAATTCTTATTTTGGAGCTCATTGCAATTATCTACAGGGTGCTGTATAATTTGAAATAACTATATTTGAACAGAATAAAATGGCAACACGATTAAGACAATTTCGCACCTCTGATTAGCACGGTTGGCTACGTACGGTGTAAGAGAAGTTCAACATAATACAATTAAAGATAATTGGGGGAAAACGTATAGTTGCAACAATTGACTATTTTAAATAAAACATGATTGTATATATAATTGTTCTGCTCAATCTATTCAAGTATAACGTTGGCATATCACTTTCATATCATTTGTCAATCATGGGCACAAACAATGCACAAAAGGCATCAGCATGGCAGAATTCACACCCCCTCACATAAAGATGAATTGTTATGATTTGGGGTAGTGGTTCAATTTGATAAACGATGATTTTCCCTACGCCCCCCATTGTGGTGAATGTCGTACACGCCTCGAGTGGCTGCGGGGGTCACGTGAATACACGTCACACAAAGACATTGTTTATCCGCTTTCAACATGCACAATTCAACACATATCGCGCACGTGCAAGAAACAATTATACATTTTTTTAAACGACAAATTAAGACGCCGTCACAATGCCCAATTCATGGGATTCAAGAAACGTGATCAACAAACTCCTGATCAACGAGCCCACCACTACGCTGCCTGGGTTCCACACCGCCCAGATCATCAGCAAGCCCACCACTGCACTGCCCGGCTTCCACACCGCCCAGATCATCAGCAAGCCCACCACTACACTGCCCGGCTTCCACAACGCCCAGATCATCAGCGAGCCCACCACTACACTGCCTGGCTTCCACACCGCCCAGATCATCAGCAAGCCCACCACTAAACTGCCCGGCTTCCACAACGCCCAGATCATCAGCAAGCCCACCACTACACTGCCCGGCTTCCACAACGCCCAGATCATCAGCAAGCCCACCACTACACTGCCTGGCTTCCACAACGCCCAGATCATCAGCAAGCCCACCACTACACTGCCTGGCTTCCACACCGCCCAGATCATCAGCGAGCCCACCACTACACTGCCCAGCTTCCACACCGCCCAGATCATCAGCGAGCCCACCACTACACTGCCCAGCTTCCACACCGCCCAGATCATCAGCAAGCCCACCACTACACTGCCCGGCTTCCACAACACCCAGATCATCAGCGAGCCCACCACTACACTGCCTGGCTTCCACAACGCCCAGATCATCAGCAAGCCCACCACTACACTGCCCGGCTTCCACAACGCCCAGATCATCAGCAAGCCCACCACTAAACTGCCCGGCTTCCACAACGCCCAGATCATCAGCAAGCCCACCACTACACTGCCCAGCTTCCACAACGCCCAGATCATCAGCAAGCCCACCACTACACTGCCCGGCTTCCACAACGCCCAGATCATCAGCAAGCCCACCACTAAACTGCCTGGGTTCCTCAACTCTCAGCTCAATAGTAAGCCCACCGCCAAAATACACGGCTTCCATATTCCAGACGACAATGGGCAGCAGCTCAACCGGATCTGCAAAAGCGACGAACGATTCAGATAATAATGCTCGCGTGGATAATAAAACTCTCCCTGTGTGCAACTGCGGCTATGGAACACCGCACCATGAAGCAGCGAAATTGGTGCTGCCCTAAATACACGTGTAAAGGTGGCGGGTAAGTGGGCGAGAGGGTGAGTGGGTGGATGAGTATGTGAGTGGGTCAGTGGATGGGTGGGTGTATATGCAATTCACCAAATCTCAGGCAAACCAACCAAATGGCAAAATCACTTAGAAACGCATTGGCCCATACGAATTCATCATCTTCTTGGTTCTTTCGGTAAAGTCACGTAGAAGGGAAGTAATAAAATAATAAAAATAAAACATAATAAAATAAAATAATTCTAACGACGTTTCGGCTATAACGCAAGCAGCCGTCTTCAGGTGAAGAATGAGACACTGCCAAGCTAGGAGCTTATATATAAGCTGCGTTGGAGGTGGAAGAAGAGCGCCTTAACAAAAGAATGTGCATATGAAGAGGAATTTAGCATATTCAAGCTTTAAATCGGAATTCATCATCGTCATCGACACCGAATAAACAGTGCAGCAGAGAAATTATCAAGCTAATGGAAAGAGGAGACTGCACTAGAGACTCATCTAAGACAAACAGCACGTAGAAAGAGAAAAAATTAAAGTTCCCACTGCACCTGAGTGTAGAATCTCGAGCAGTCTCGGAACAGCCAGGCCAAGGAAGGCGTCAGTGTGAAGAGGAGCCAGGGCAGAGGTCGCCTGCATGGCAGCGCCACTGCGGAGATGCAAACGCACATCCAAATCATCGTCGTCGGCAGTGACCTGTCCACTGCTCGACGATGACCTCTGCTCACGATGTTGCTGCAGGAGAAAAATTATTCCGCAAAGCAACGACCCGCCTAGCTCCTGCACACATACTGCTCTCGTCGCGGGCATGCTCCCTCCTTTGACTGCCACTCTGTTGTTAGTCTCGACCACCGCTCATCGTTCTAGATTTGAAGCTTTCGTGACTGCAAGGATTCACATTCTTAGGTTCTTTCGGTAAAGTCACGTAGGTAAAAAATTTTAATTAATAAAATTAAAATAAAAATCACCACGTTTCGGAGGCAACACAAGCTTCCGTCTTCAGGTGGAACCGTCACAGCACGACAGCTGTATCAAGTAAATGAGAGATTACAAGAGATACCACTCCGTATATATAATGGTTGAGGGGGGGAGGCCAGGAACGGCCCACTTTTTATTTTACTTTTATTAATTTTAATTTTTTACCTACGTGACTTTACCGAAAAAACCTAAGAATACCGCTCATCGTCCCTTCCAGCGATGCACGACTGCCCGAGAACAACTTGATTTATGTTAATGGACAAAGACTGATGTCTCGAGCGTGCTGTACCCTCCCCCCCATGTATGCGGTGTTGCTCTTCCCGTCTCTCAGAGTAATTCCACGCGTGCGCTTCTCTGTCGCGGACGATAACAAAGGCGTTTGGGCAGCCGGGAAATAAATCGCCGTCTGCGGGACTCTGTGTGTCACTCGTATAACAAAATATAACAAACAGCCGATGTGTCAATCTATTGCTGGATGAAAGCCTCACCATGCTCCGTCGGTCATGGGGGTCATTTGACCATACTTCACCACACTGGTCAGTGTTTGTTGGTGAAGCGGGGGGAGGACCAGTTCAGATATCACTCATCCACTGGTTTTTGCGCAAGAGGTTCTTACAGGCCGCGGGTCTACATAATTTACCAATACAAAGTGAACTGATACAGGATCGATAATAGTTTTTTTACCATTTTATCTGGCAACAAAACTGACACCTTTTTTACGAGGAGTCATGTTTGCATAGACCACAATACCTGCAGTCATAATGCAAACAAAAAACATAACTCTGACTCCTCGTAAAAAAGGTGTCAGTTGTGTTGCCAGATAAAAGGGTAAAAAACCAATTATCATATTTTTTACTGGAAAATGAGGCACCAATGGTGATACAGGATCCTTAATACACTTGGAATCACGTCACTGCCGCCTTCACCGACTTGCGCTGAGAATGTCCAATGTGGTGAAGTGTGGTGAAAAGACAACCCAGGACCCGCACGGCGCAGGAGAGGGCCTCTCTTCTAACGCGGAGGAGGATTGACTAACGGGCTGTACGTGTACACCAGTGTTGATCATTGCAAGGCTGGCAGGCCACTGGCGGCCCCTGGTGGTTTTAATGAGGCCCCTGAGAGTACACAAATAGTGAAAACACCCCTCTCGCGGGCGGTGTGGCGGCCCTCACACTGGTGACATCTTGTCGGCGAAATTGGCCTCCCTCTGACAATTAGCGAAAAACGCTGGCGTTCGTACACACACCATCAACATTGCACTGCTGCTGTGTCACATCAGTGCCAGTCGAGTGGTCGTGCTGTGACAAAGCGGCCTTACTTGACTTGCTCGTCAGAGTCCTCCACAAGCAGCCGCGTGATGTGGCCCACGACGCAGTTGATGTCTGCCTGCGCGAGGCAAGCTGCAAGAAACACAAATTCCATGTCGAGCATCGGATTAAAAGCGCGCATGGTGCCGGTTGTAAACATCGGCGCTGGGAAGACAAAGGCGGCTCGGACATGCATGCTACTTGCCTCCCGGTTAGCGCGCAGCGCTACGAACCTGGCGACCCGAGATCGATTCCCGCTCACGGCCGACACCAGTGACGATTATCTGAACCGGTTCTGGGCTTCCGCTCGGTCAGCTCAGCCTCAAATGAGTACCTGGTACGGTGTGTAAACAAGCCAACTGGGGAGACAAAGACGGTCGGGCGTGGTGCTGCCCATCCACCCCCTCACGTGCCGTGCCGGTCTTCAGCACTTGCCCCAACAGTCTGTTAAAGCTACACGGGGGAAATCTGTCTTTTTGTGCACGAGCACCAGCATGGTAGCGTCAATACGGCTCAATGGGAGAATTCCTCCGCGCGTGTTTTTTTTGCGTTTACCGGTGCCCGTGTTAGAGCACTTAGCCTGCTCCAGTCTACAGGGCTTATTCGAGGTCACCTCTCTGTGTGTGTGTAAATGCGTGCGGGACGCGGGCGTCCGCGAGCACGGCGATCACGCGTACCGGGCAGCCTGGCCAGGACGGTGAGGGTGGCGAGACCGGCGCACCGCAGCTGCACGCCGGCATCCGTCACGGCCCCGTACAGCAGCTCGCACAGTCGCTCGACCAACGGGGCGACCGGGCTGTCCACTGCGGCGGCGGAAGGACACATTCGTTCGCTCGTCAATTCGCTCGCTCGCTCGAGCTCCGCAGACGGGAACGCAGCATGTCGCGGTGGCGCGGCGGTTGCTGCTCGTTCGGCGGAGAGCTGTACCCACCTTCCTCCGTGGACGCGACGTCCAGGCACTTGGTGAGGAATCCACGCAGGATGCCGAGCACCGTGTGCCGCTTTGCCAGCTGCAGGAGAAGGGATCTTTTGTGAAACAAGCAAGAGGAAAAAAAAAATCACCTACCACGCACGGCGTTCTGTACAACGTGCGTTTGACCTCAGAAGCATTTCATCGGCGGTGACGGTGGCGGTGGCGCTGGATGCACGGGAAGCAGTTCTGCAGGCCACGATGAGAGAACGGGGCTCGGATAGCGGCTCAGCTGGCAAGGCCGGGATGCCGACGTGGGTACTCTTATCATACTGCTTTGAGCCTCCAAGATTTGGAGAAAACCCTTTCATCAATTTGGCCCGTTTTAAATCGAGTAAATCCCGAACATCAACACAACTTTACGTAAAATGTCGCCTCAAATTGGATCACGTTAACCAGTTATTGTCCACCCGCTCCACCCACCCCTCCCCCCCTGCCATGTACAGCAAAAATGTGTTGATGATGTAGACAGATGTACAGAGACCGAGTGTAAGTCCCGGGTTTTGCCCTGGATCTCTGGTTTGCTCCTACAAAAAAGGCCAAGATCCCCCATACAGCCTGAACAGACTGTAGGGGCAAGTGGTGTTAGGTAGCACCTATGAAGGCCAGCACGGCACACGAGGTGGTGTGTGGCCAGCACCACATCTGACCGCCTTTGTCTCCCCAGTGGCGATGTTTTTACACACCGCACCAGGTACTCATTTGAGGCAGAGTCGACCAAGGAGAGGCCTAGGATCGGTTCAGATAAGCCCCACTGTTGTTGGCTGTGAGCGGGAATCGAACGCGGGTGGCAGGGTTCGTAGCGCAGCGCGCTAACCGCTGCACCACCGCTCCCCGCGTACTCTGTCTCTCTCACCTGCTGGTGCTCCTCGTACTGCTGCAGCAGCAGAGGCAGGATGGCCGAGACGGTGACGGAACAGGCGCGGTACGACGCCCCGCAGCACGCCTGCAGCAGCTTGGCGCTCGGCCACACCAGGGCCATGTCGGCGCCCAAGAGCGGAGGCCGGCAATCTGAGAGGTGCAACAAGACGAATGACGGCGATCGCCGATGCAGCCAAAGCGTAGACCGCCGTGGAAGCAATGTAGTCAAGCACCTATCAAGGCTGGCGTGACATCGTATTTTGACCTCATGAGAGCTTGCACCCCGGGGGTCAGAGTCATCGTATACAAACTCTGTGACGGCAATAGGACTTGCCTCCTTAGGATAAAGGATCAGGGTTCTGATCCCATGGTCTAACAATTAGGCAGAAGGGTTAAACATTACACACATTGTATTTAGACTCCTGGACCAGATTTCTATGGGGAGGGGGGTGGGGAGGGTCAAGATATTCATTTTGTATCGGAAGTGTTTCAGTTTCATGTATTAGGTATAGCCCTGTGAGCCATTTGGCTCTTGAATCGGGTGCAACCGCAACAAACAAAAACATGAACGAGAAAACATCTTAAAGTGACTATATGCAAACAGAAAATCCAAGAAAAGACAGCAAAATATTGCAGAAAAAGCACCGTACACCAACGCTGTGTGCAAAAATCCCAGTGGGATGCAAGTCAAACAACAACAACAACCACAAGACAACATAGATTAAGGCCATCAGTTTAACTCCGTACTACAACAAACATGACCAAACCAAAAAAAGTTTTCGAAATCACCATAATAAAGCCATAAAAGCAATGTAACAGTGATCATAGTAACTGTGAAAGAATTTTCACAATAAACGACATAAACAACATGTACCACCAAACTCTGCAGCCATAGCTGGCTGCATAAGTCACTCCACAACCGCAGGAGCATCAGCCGGAGTATCAACATTTAATAAGTGCGACACAGCACAAATGACCAAGGTAATGGCAAAACCGATATCGCTGTATTCGTCCTATCGTGGAATACGCTGTCGTATCGCGAGTCAAGTCAGAGAGGCAATTCATCTTCCCCGCAGCGCGAGGTCCTCACTTGGTTAGGGCAGCGGGGACTCCCATTCCCCTTCTTCCCTCCACCCCCCCCTTTCATGCGGTTCCGTCGCTCCGGAATGGACCACCGCGGGATTTGAGGGCGCGTCGTATCGGGCTCGCTTCTTTGTTGCAACAAAAATGTGAAAAGAAAACCAAAAAGAGACGGGAGAGGCAAGACCCCACTCGTTACCTTCGTGAATCTGGCAGAGGAAGGGAGTCAGGGGGTCATCGGCGTCGGCGGGCACCACCGAGCGCGAAAGGGAGACCAGGACGGCTCGCAGGGCCCGCAGGGCGGCGCCCTCCACCTTGCCGCTGCCGCCCACCTGGCAAACCTGCGGTGGGGGGGGAGGGGGCAGCCGGGTGAGACGCGCCGTCCCGGGACGCCCACGGTGATGACGCGAGAACGAGACGGCCATCGGAGGAAGGAGGGGGGGGGGCAAGTGAAGGGCGCGGTTTAGTTTCAAATTATTTTATCGAGTGAACAATTTCTTACGTGGATGTACATTTACAGGCGCAGCAGCCATTCTGGCACTCCGCCGCAGGACGAGGGCCTCCCTACGGCGTGTGGGTTGTAGGGGGGTTATTAGACTGTACTTGGCCACGCTGGTCAGTGAGGGTTTGGTGAAAGCGGAGGAAATAAATGTGGGAGCGAACAAATGAAGTAGAATGGAATTGCAGCACTGCCCTCTACTGCACGCCACGTCACGTGTCTCTTTATATCTCGGCGGGGCCATAAACTCTCGGTGTAAGCACTCTCAGGGTCCTGTGTGAGTTACATCTGGCCTGCTTGACGGTCACTGCATCGTGCGCTTTCAGATGAGCTTGTGCAGCCGTCTGGAACGCTCTTCCTTCCGATATTAGGAAGCCACTGGAGCTATGCACTTCAAAATTTTGATTGAAAGCTAATTTTTTGAGAACTGCTTTGTGCGTTTAGTTTGTTCCCCGTACCTCCGATTAGTACGGATGGCTACGTACGGTGCGAAAGCAGTTCAACATACATATATGCTTGGCCACAAAGTTGAAAACCCACCCTGGTTTAAACACAAGTGCCATTTGATTGACTAAAGTGATCCCAGAACTTGCCTCTCGTCTGATGGAGGCCCACAGGCTAGGGAGGGAGGGTGCAAGTTCCACGGACGTGTACACTTCACAGCAGGAAATCTGAAAAGCACGGGGAGTTGGGGTGGCACACAGGGAAAGGTGAGTATGAAACGACGAGCGTGACAGAAATTAAACGACACGCGGCAACGTCTCGATATTCCACGCTGCCGACATGGCAAGGTGCGAGTTGAATTGGTGGCAGTGATTTTCACCAGCGTTTCCAGGGCATCGACTTTAGCGCTGTTGATGTCCGAGTCCAACTTTTCCAGCAGAAGCGGCAGACAGAACTGAGAATACAAAGACAGGTGAATAAAGATAGAAACAACTGTGGAACCCGTTGTTAATCCACAGCTGGTTGAAGGCCTCCCCACGTCGTGTTGGCTATATAGGGTTGCCGCCTTGTTTGGTCACACGTCACGTTCATTCAGGTCATGCCACAAGTCCTGCACTGCCCCCCCATGACCCGAACCCTAATCCTGATTCTGACTATGATCATAACCCTGGCCTACATCTTAAGCCCTAATTCTAACCCCACCTCAAAAGATGACTCTCACCCTAGCTATACGTCTAATCCTAACCTCACCATAACCTGAACTTTAACCCCAACTCTAACCTGATACCGAACATTAATTCAAAACTCTAAAACATCTCTGACCCTGACACTGACTCTCCGGGCCTAATTTCAACTATGACCTCTAACCCTAACATTGACATTAACCCGAACCCCAAACCCAAACTCGTACCTCGGCAAACTTTGGTGTGGAGCTGAGCACAGCCCGGAGTCCCAGGACCAGCTGCTCGGCGGTGATGCCATGCGGGTCTGTGGTCGGCTGCCAAGACAAAAAAACATTCACCCACGGCAAACGTGTCTTGCGACAAACATTCAAGATTTAAGTTTAGTTTGTTTAAGCAGGTGAGAACTCAAAGAGAACACAATGACCCTCATTTGTGACCTGGGGCAACAGTTTGGCAGTAGGGGGGATGGCAACGATTGCTATTTATAATCCCAATTGAGCAATTTGCGGATAATTTCCCGAATTTGGGACAATTGGAAGCCAAAAACGTGCCAAGATCCGGCGGCGCGGGGGTCGACGGTGGCGACACCGGCACTCACCGGCGTGAAGTCGATGGGGAAGTAGCAGGAGGTCACTTCGAAGAGTTCTTCCACAAAACTCCCTGCCAACGGTCGGCAAACAGGAGCAACCGTCAGATGTGTACAAAAGCATCTGGAAAATTTTCCCCAAAATGACTTGTGATCTCCAACAAGGCCTTAAATTTCTCTCTCGATTATTCTCCCGCTGACTGGTAGATTGCAGTAGGCACGCGACTCGTAGCTACAGCCCAGAGCGAGCGGTATACTGGATGTGGGGTGTGCCGGGCAAGGTAATGTTTTCTGGGTCCCTTACCCGGTTAGCTGTGGCCAGAAATCGAACTCAGGTTTTCCAACTTGCAGTGCGGGCGTGCTAACCGAGCACCATCCTCCATACCCAAGAAGTAACACCAGGGGGCTTTCTTTGAACCAGTGCTGCCTAGGTCAACAACCCGGAAAATATTTACATATCCAGCAAGCGACATCCAGCATACTTTTTTTGCAATGGCTGTGGCTACTAATCACTTGCCCACTCCAATCTAACAGCCACCAAAGAAAGCATTAATTGAGAAATGAATCCCTGAATAATGTGATAATGTTGTGATATATTTATATTTAAATTACTTTGTCCCTCTTCATGGACTGTGTAACACCAAACACATAACCTGGCACTTCCCACCACTATTAAGCAAGCACAGTAATGCAACAATTCATAATTTCCCAATTAAAAATATATTCTTTCGTTTATAACACGTACCAAATATTGCGTGCGAGTATTTTCAATGGTAGCAAATTACAGTAAAACCTTGGATTGCGAGCATAATGCGTTCCGGAAACGTGTTTGTAATCCATCAGTTGTGATCACGTGATGCTCGGCAGACAAAGCATATACACGTACTACTCGTATTGCAAGACCTCGCTCGTTTATCAAATTAATATTTATTTTAAAAATTTGCTCGTCTTGCAAAACACTCGCAGACCAAGTTACTCGCAATCCAAGGTTTTACCGTACATGAAAATTTTGTAGTTCGGATAATTGAGCTTGTTACAATAATAAGCCCAATTTATAATGACAAAGTAACAGAAACAATACAAACAGAAATCTCGAGTGCGTTAAATATGATCCGTAACACCGCCAGCTCGGTACCCTGACCCCTTTAGCCACCCGAGCGCCTGTAACTTTGTACGCGACCGTTACGAGCCAGTCGCTGTCGTCGTTGGAGAGCGAACACGACACTCGTACGTCGCTCACCGAGCTGGTACCCGCGTGACACGATGCCGTGGGCGATACGGAAGGAGATGAGAAGATTGCGTGGGTCTTTCTCCCCGTCCGTGGCCTGGACGAAGCCGTACGTGAAGTCCGTACCGAGTGCCTTCAGCTCTGCAGGGGACATCGAGCACGTCACGCGGCCACGGTCAATCCACGGCTGCATGAAGTCCGCAGGTCGCAACTGGCCTGCTCAACGGTCACCAGAGGTCGCAATCAGGTACCCAATACCCGTACCCCACCCGATACCCGGCTAATCCGTACCCAGCCGGGTACGGGTACCCGTAGGCCGTGAGTTACTGGTGAGTAACCGTTTGTCACTCATTTCCCAACGTCTTGTCTCTTCTCACAATTCAAGTTCCTAGAATCAACCCACCCACGCCTGCAACATGGCTTCATCCCAGAGGTCGCAATCGGGTACCCGATACCCGTACCCTACCCGGCTACCCGTACCCGGCCGGGTATCGGGTACCCGTTTGCGACCCTGGTGCGGCCGGGTACGGGTAAGGAATCAAAACCCGTTTGCGACCTCTGACGGTCACCGCATCTTGCGCTTTCAGATGCTCTTCTGCGGCCGTCTGGAACGCTCTTACCTCCGATATTAGGAATCAACTGGAGCTATGCAATCTAGATTTGAAGTTGGGGAAACGAAACGACATATCTCGGACCGTGTTCGCGAACACAAGGCAGATCTGAAACACGGCAGAGCCAATACCTCTGCCGTGGCTGACCATTGTTATAACGCTGTGGGCTCGCATGATATTGTTTTTTTCCCCGAGACCAAGGTACTCTGCAAACCTTCGGGCTACTATCAAAGGTTTGTTCATGAAGCCATCCAGATAAATAAACAGACATAACTTCAACCGAGAAGATGGATACAAATTGAGCAATCATTGGAAGGATGTTATTAACCAGATAAAACCCTAACTGCTTTGTATTGGTTGTCGTCTATCATATCTGCCGGGTACTGCGACACCACGCAGCGCTCGCCCTCCCCCTACCCCACCCCCCTCCCTATCCCCCCTTGCTCCTCCCCCTTTCTTACCGATATAACCTCTTCCCACGGCAACTCTCTCTCCCACTTCAGCAAAAAAATGTTCTTGCTGTGGTTTTCCCACCTGATGATAATTGCTTGTGTTGCAATCGAAACGTCGTGATTTAATTTATTTTATACCTACGTGACTTTACCGAAAGAAGCAAAGAGTATGGAGCTATGCACTTTAAAATCATCTTGATTGAAAATGCATTTCCTTAGAACAGTTTTTTGTGTTCAGTTTGTTGTCCTTACCACGTACCTCTGATAAGCAAGGTTGGCGACGTACGGTGTAAAATTAATTCAACATACCTACATACATTTCGATTTAAAGCTTTCGTGACTGCCGGGATTCATCTTCTTGGTTCTTTCGGTAAAGTCACGTAGAATGGAAATAATAAAATAATAAAAATAAAACAATATAAAATAATTCTCACGACGTTTCGGCCACAACGCAAGCAGCCGTCCTCAGCTGAAGAACAGGTCCGTCGATAAGACAGAGTCTGAATGACACATCCTGGGCTTGGAGCGTCTATTTAAGCTTCAGACTCGGTCTTATCGAAAGACCTGTTCTTCACCTGAGGACGGCTGCTTGCGTTGTGGCCGAAACGTCGTGAGAATTATTTTTTTATTTTATTTTTATTCTTTTATTATTTCCATTCTACGTGACTTTACCGAAAGAACCAAGAAGATGAATACCTACATACAGTTTAACACGTCGGCTTTCGCGACCAATATCATCCACAATAGAGGTGTTTGGGTTAGATCGCGTAAGTATATACCTACATACATACAAGCAATCACTGGTTAATCATCATCAGCAGTGGTCAATCCACTGGTGCCGTCACCTCTCGCGATCCACTGATGTAAAAATCCACGTAGCACCTGCACACGAGCTAATTTCATCGCTCCAAGTACAAGGAGGAGTCAACTCTCAACTATCCGGGGTGATGACTGGAGAAAACAAAAACACAGGTAGTGAAAAACCTTTCCATATTAGCATATAACAACATTATTATAGATATTTCCCAAGAATGGTGGATAATACGAGTTAATTCTAGATTTGAAGCTTTCGTGACTGCAAGGATTCATATTCTTAGGTTTTTTCGGTAAAGTCACATAGGTAAAAAATTAAAATAAAAGTAAAATAAAAATCACGACGTTTCGGAGGCAACACAAGCTTCCGTCTTCAAGTGGAAGACGGAGGCTTGTGTTGCCTCCGAAACGTCGTGATTTTTATTTTATTTTACTTTTATTAATTTAAATTTTTTACCTATGTGACTTTACCGAAAAAAACCTAAGAATATAATACAACTTAAATATAACACAATTGCACCTGCTGCCATTTGCATAACGTACACCGCTTACGCACCGACACACAACGCAGACGATCCATCAGCTCTTGCCCGCTCCGCCCAGTTACCTGGCTCTTTGGTCTCCATGAAGTTGGCGATGATGTTGTAGACGCTCCGCCGATCAGAGTAGACCAGGGACTGTGGGGCGGACGGCAGGAGGACAAGCGAGGCAACTTCATCATCGATACATAACAAGTATAACCCGTAAAAACAAAGTTTTTCACTATAAATCCTTTATATGCGTGGCGGCTAGAGTCCTCTCGTCCTCTGGCTTGAGATGGCTGCCACCTATGGGTCAGATGATTGCATTGCACCATTAAGCAATTGGTAATTAAATATAAAATTTGTCCTAAAAAGTGTAAAATTTTGGAATTTTTTTTCACGAACATTAATTGTCACGCACAACGAGTCTGTGTGGAAAATGTCAGCTCGATTGGATCACGGGAAGTGGGTTAAATAACGACCGAAAGATTTTCACGGTCGTAAGCAAGCAAGCGAACTTAATATAAAGGATTTAAAAATTAATCCTCCCAGTAGCCTTCGAGCCCTCTTGTCGACGCAGTGCAAGATGGAAGGTTTCCCCAAAGCCATCGCTATTCACCCACGGTCACGCGATGCAGAAATTCGCACAGCACTTGCACATGGCTCCATCTCCGTGGTAGTACACGTCAACTTGGGTGTATATCCTCTTTTAGCTACACATCGGGCATCACTTTAAAGGTAATTATCTACAGTTTTGGAAGATGTCTTGTTAATCGGCAGAGTATGTGGTTTGACACAAACGCCACTGCCATGCCAGTGTAGATGAGAATGTCTGTTTGACGGAGAGCATCCAACACTGTGATATTTAATGAGAATTCACGACTTGCGACAAAAAGTTGAGCACGTTATATGAATCTGATTTAATCGGAATTGGAATCGCGATCATGAGAATTGATCTTATTTCGTCAATTTAAGAATCGGTGCATGCCTAAGAATTATTATCGTGATTCACGATCGTGGATAGCGATGGCCATCTGAAGGAAATCGCCAACGCAAGAGTGCAGGGAAACTCAGGGGACAGGTGGAAGCCTTCACCTGAACGTGTACATCTTGGAAGATGGCCTTCAGCACCCGCACCTCGAGCCCCACGGGAAGATTAGGGGCGCTGCTCTGGAAACACAAAAGCCATTTGCTTACACATAACACCAAAAACTACATTTAAAAAACACTAATGGCCTATTCTAGATTTGAAGCTTTCGTGACTGCAAGGATTCATACGGTTAGGTTTTTTTCGGTAAAGTCACGTAGGTAAAAAATTTAAATTAATAAAAGTAAAATAAAATATAAATCACGACGTTTCGGAGGCAACACAAGTCTCCGTCATCAGGTGGGACACTCACAGCTAAAATTACTGCAGTAATTACTGCCTCCGAAACGTCGTGATTTATTATTTTATTTTATTTCCATTATTACTTTTATTAACTTTTAATTTTATTTTTTTACCTACGTGACTTTAGCGAAAAAACCTAACAGTATAATGGCCTATTGTTAGGAGGTAAAGCTTCCTTATAAGCGTACAGCACAGTCAACTCTGGATTATCCGTCGAAGGATTACCCCGATTTGCCGACTGACCGTGCTTGCGAAAAAAACAAATACATTGACACGGAAGCGCTGGTTAGACTATAAGCTGCCCTGCACTGGCGTTGAGGGTCAGTGATTCATTGGCCACGTCACTTAACACGTGTTGACAAGTAAACCGATTACATTGAGAAGCGATAAAAAAAAAACACAGTGGAACATTTGGAGTTTTCGTCCTACTTCTACATCGGTAAATGAAACGTTCGTGAAAGTCTTATTGACATATTTCAGCATAATCTGTGTTTTTGTTTACATGTATGTTTAACTTCTGTCGCACAGTTTTCAGTTTTCATTTATTAGGTATAGCCCTGTGAGCCATTCGGCTCTTGAATCGGGTGCAACCGCAACAAACAAAAACATGAACAAGAAAACATCTTAAAGTGACTAAGTAACTTTGTGACTATGTGCAAATAAAAAATCCAAGAAAAGACAGCAAAATATTGCAGAAAAAGCACCGTACACCAACGCTGTGTGCAAAAATCACAGTGGGATGCAAGTCAAACAACAACAACCACAAGACAACTTAGATTAAGGCCATCAGTCTAACTCCGTACTACAACAAATAAACATGGCCAAACCAAAAACTTTTCGAAATCACCAAAATAAAGCCATAAAAGCAATATAATAGTGATCATAGGAACTGTGACCGAATTATCACAATATACGACGTAAACAACATGTACCACCAAACCCTGCAACCATAGCTGGCTGCATGAGTCACTCCACAACAGCAGGAGCATCAGTCGGAGTACCAACATTTTTCAATGCAACTTTAAGATCAGTACACTAAATCAAAACACAGATCATACTTTGCAGAGGTCATCCGGAGCGAAACATTTTAGGCTACTGAATAGCAGTGGCAGCTAGGGGTGTACAACCCCTCAAGAGCAGTTTTGAGTGAAGATCTCACAGGTAGTGATTCAAGTTGCAGTTTATTGGCAATAGCATTCCAGACCCTGGGGGCATCAATAGCAAAGGCCCTTCCTCCAGTATTTGTATGGCAATAGAGAATGTGAAGCTGGTAAATGAGCGAAGACCATAGGTCAAATTTGTTCTTTGAAACAGAGAGGAGATCCAGCAGGTAATCTGCTGATTTTTTTGTAAGTACATCGTGAATAAATAAGATCTGGTGCACAAGCCGTCGGGGGAAGGTCAACAAACTAAAGACAAAAATCTCCCTGCCTCTCATTACCCTGCATAATTTACAGTCGACTATGCGTCTAGAATTTGTACAATGGTTCAAAGTGCTAAGTTTCTAAATAATAGCATTAATATCACACAATTATTGCTTTTTCATAACATCATGAAATGAAGTGCTATGATGAAAGGCCATTACCCGACACGTCTCCTATTATAGTTTTTTTTTTAAACCCACGATGTTAATGATGAATGTGTCCAGTGTTTATTTGTTGATTGTGGTTGTGCACAACGGCAATTGTGCACAACACCAATTTTAACTGTTCAGGAGGGTTCTACTACAGTGAAAAGTTTAGCTGGTTCCATAAGTGGGTGTTTTGCTTGTGGAAGATATTCTTAGCACCTGGAGATAACAAATGCAAAAGAGCTGAGAGCACTCATAAGTTGGAACAGAAACAACCCACTTGTTCTACTGCCACCTCCTGGCCACCTCTCCATTAGAACAGAACGAAGAGGCAGTGCAGCTGCGGTTCCTTACCAATGCGACAAATCCTTGCAGCACGCCGGGCAGGACGGTGTAATGGTCCTGGAGTTTGTCAACGTAGAACAAGGCGAGGACTTCCACTGGGAAAACACGCGGTCACAATCGCGCGTTGGAGCAAACTATCAACAACAACAAACTAAATACATTTAACGATTCCCGTGAACGGCGATATCATTGAACTAATCACCGATCGCAACACAAGCGGTCGTCATCAGTCAAAGGAGTCAGCCTCTAAAGGCAAACTGTTTAGAAAGGTTTGGGGATGGGCTTAGCCCAAGAGTATCAACAGCACAAGCAGCATGGGCGGTGCACGAGTGCCAATGCAGCAACAATGCCAATGCAGCAACAATGCCAATGCAGCAACAATGCCAATGCAGCAACAATGCCAATGCAGCAACAATGCCAATGCAGCAACAATGCCAATGCAGCAACAATGCCAATGCAGCAACAATGCCAATGCAGCAACAATGCCAATGCAGCAACACTGCCAATGCAGCAGCAATGCCAATGCAGCAACAATGCCAATGCAGCAACAATGCCAATGCAGCAACAATGCCAATGCAGCAGCAATGCCAATGTAGCAGCAATGCCAATGCAGCAACAATGCCAATGCAGCAGCAATGCCAATGCAGCAACAATGCCAATGCAGCAGCAATGCCAATGCAGCAGCAATGCCAATGCAGCAACAATGCCAATGCAGCAGCAATGCCAATGTAGCAGCAATGCTTCAAATCAAGATCATTGAACTATTCAATACAAGAGATTATTTTTCGTCTCCTTGGTAATCATCGCGATCATATTATTTATTGTTGCTTATGGCTCATTTGTACAGTGCTGTTTGCTCCACAAGCCTAAATGTAACATTAGCATGTCATTTGCAGGCTTTAGAGATGATCAATGTATATAACGCGAGCTTAAAAATCTATTTTAACCAATTATTATTCTTGTTGGTAATCTACCAGTGAGCGTCTAGTATTCAGGTTATAATTAGGGTTTGAGTTACGCAATAACCAAGGTTTAAAGGTGCCTTTATAATATAAATCAATGACTCCATTCATCGTTACATGCCTACAAAAACACGAAGCCAACATCAGAAACTGCAAGCGATGACGGTGTCTCGACTCTAGGCCATTAAACGTCTTACGCTCTTTGGGTTGCAGCTTGCGCAAGTTGTGCTGTAGGACGTCGGAGAGCAGGCGGGTCCCCAGCGCACGGATCTCAGTCTCCGTGTGAGTGAGATAGACCCTGCGACAACCACAGGCGGAACCGTACGGCAACGCGCCGAGATGACGGACGCAAGGTGGTGAAACCTCCGACGACGCGGTGGCCCCCTGTATAGCCTGAACAGACTGTAGGGGCAAGTGCTGTTAGAGAGCACCTCTGAAGGCCGGCAATGGCACACGAGGGGGTGGGCGGCCAGCACCACACCCCAGCCACCTTTGTCTTCCCAGTGGTGTTTACACAACGCACCAGGTATTTATTTGAGGCTCCGTCAACCTAGGGGAAGCCCAGAACCGGTTCAGATAATTGCCATTGGTGTTGGCCACGAGCCGGAATCGAACTCGGGCCGCTGTGTTCATAGCGCAGCGCGCTAACCGCTACACTGGTGGCTTCATACCCAAATGGATATGCATCAGGGTTTAATATCAGCAGGTTCTGACTAGTTCGGTCACTTGAATAATATTTATCCACCTGGCACACCCGCACCCATTATACATCTTTCTATGGCTGCGTCCACTGGTCATGTGCCATCTACTCCAGTCTACCAGCGACCCAGAATATATTGAGCGATACATTAAGCCCTGGCATTCATAGTTTAAAATGTTGCTCCCCAGGTCAACTGGACATGCGCCTCTTCAACTGATAAAAGTCCGAAGCACGTACGCAAACCAGGTCGAGACAAACTGCTCAAGGTTTTAGCCAAGCAGAGTATGATGATTTAGAGTTTAATTGCTGCCGATATCCCGCAGAATCTCAACGCACCTTACTAAACAACAAAACCACGTTCTCAACAAAAAAACTGTTAGAAAAAAACAGGGAATTATAGGGGAGTGGGGAGGGTGGAAATAATCCTATATCACAGACACAGGTTCGAGACGACCAACTGCACACACAAGCAGCAGGATGCAATAGTCACCGACAAGCCAAATCCCGGGGGAACGTCCGGCAATACGCCACACCAGCCATCCCTACCAACCACCAACCGCCATGGCACTGTCTGGGGTGATTTTTCAGAATTCTCACAATCTTTGAATTTCCGTTTGACCCCCAAGATACACTGGTGAACACGGGTCCTGGCATCTCTGAGGATGGTCTGGTACTCATGGGTGCTGTTCCGTCAGTGCCCGGGGCTCGTCGTTGCTGTTGGATGCTGGCCCTGACTTTTCCGGCTTCCCCCGTTGTTGGTCATGGGTCGTAGTTGTTGTTGGATCCCGGACTGTGCCGCTGTATTACTCTCTCGTATGTATGTTGAACCTTAACTTCTTTTGCACCGTACGTAGCCAACCGTGCTAATCGAAGGCCAACAAATTTAACACAGAAAGCAGTTCTAAAGAAATGAGTTTTCCATCGAGATGATTTAAAAGTGAAAAGCTTGAGTGGCTTCCAAAGATCAGCAGGAAGAGCATTCCAGATGGCTGCACAAGCGCATCTGAACGCACGATAGGCAGTGACGATCTTTGTCCGATGGCTATGCCCTCACCCAACCCCAACCCCTTCAGCCCGAATGTAGTTTTTATTCATTGTTGCGAAGAATGTTGAGATGCGGTTGCGTTAAGACGCCAAACACACTGAATCGGTGGTTGTCGTTGTTGTTGTTGTCACCTACCCCATATTATCCACCAGGTCCAGCAGTGAGCATTTTCCTTCGGCGACATCTGCAAAGACGAGACTTGTCAGCTTGGGCAACATCACCCCTTCCCCCATCACCAATGCCACCATCATTATCACACACACACACAAACCGACATGAACCTGATGATCAACAGGCCCAGGTCATGTAAGTATTACACATCCCACACCCCCTCCAACCACTAGAGGCTGCTACATTCATCACAATGTAGGGAAAAAATATAGATTCTTGAACTGAATATGTGCTTATATGGGGAATGGAGTGGTGGCGGTAATTTATTTCACTTTTGAAACGATCCATTAATCGTAAAACCCAACCCTGACCCTAAGTTTTACTTCTGACCCGAAATGCGAATCATTAACCCTTAACCAACCCCGACCCTAATCTCTAACGGTAAAACGAACTCCTGACGTTAAAATCCCTACCCCTAATGCCAAACCTCTAACCGTAAACCCTATAGACTAAACTCTAACTACAGACCTTAAACTTAACCTCGACACGAACTCCTAAACACCTAACCCCGAAACAAAAAATCCACCTGTAAACCCTAACCACTAAAACCCTAACCTCAACCTGAAAAACTAACTCCTATCCCTAAACCATAGCTAATGTATTGTACGTTGAACTTCTTTCGCACCGTACGTAGCCGACCGCGCTAATCGGAGGTGCGGGGAAGGACAACGAAACACACTAAATTAATTTCTAAATAAATTCGTTTTCAACCAAGACTTAACAGTGCATATCTCCAGAGAATTCCTAACGAACCCATAAAAAACCAACCCCAGATTCTACAAAAACAACTACAGAAGCAGTGTTCATTCATAGTCCATCAAATGGCAAATGTCACCTACTATTAGTACAGTAGTAGTCACTCACATAACTGATGTAATCCAAGGAATGTGTAACTTGGCCGATTACAGCACGAGTTTTGTCAGCTTGTACTCACAAACACCAATTAAGTTCAAAGCCTAAGTGTGGGAATCCGTGCATCTCCATCGAGGACCCATGTCTATGTCAATGGTGACCGTTCCACATTCAGGTGGCAGGACCAGTCCATCCATTGGCCTGTCATTAAAGCATGTGCACCTGATACACTTGGGACCAATATTTGTGGGTGAATTTGACAACAAACGAGTACTGGACGCACAGACAGAATGTTATAATATCGGGCGTGTCAACCAAGTCAGGAGTGAGAGCCCGATCCACACAGACATCGCAAAGCTAAGCCGGGCTCGTGCCTGCAGAGTGCCTGGATGGGCGACATCCACGATGCATCATCATAACAAGTTGTTAAAAACCGCAGGAGGAGTTGCAACACAACCCATTGTTGTACTATACTACGCTGCAACATCTATGCTTCCACCCCAAATTTCAGTGTTGTGTGTATTTGTACACGCGCATACGATTGGTAAAGCTCGTCAATAACAAGGCCGACGTTTCGGGTCAACGACCCTTCGGCGTGTACAAAATTCCATTGGTATCAACGCGTAAACAAATGAACGTAAAACTCAAAAAACCACATCCTTAACAACACTACAGAATACAACCAGACCGGACACTCAATATACTAGTCCGGATAAGCGAGCAGCCACACGGCCGACTCTCCCGCGTTTACCGCCCCCCCCGCCTCCTCCCGCCTCCTCCCGCCGCGATCGCTTCGCTATAATCACCCGCGGCAATCTGGCGAGCCGCCGACGCGTCCCTGCCGTCCACGGCGAGGCCGAGCAGCCCGGAGAGGTGGACACGCTCGCTCCATTGCTGCTGTTCTGGCGGCACGGCCATGTGGAGTCAATGTGGCGCTTAGCGGTAGGCAGCGCGGGTGGGGGGGTTTTGGTGGCGGGTGAGCAACTAGCCAATGGGAGCGCGAGTTTTGGGTGTAGGGGGTGGTGGTGGGGGTGGCGGGTGAGCAATTAGCCAATGGGAGCGCGAGTTTGGGTGTAGGGGGTGGTGTTTGGGGGTGGTGGGGGTGGCGGGTGAGCAACTAGCCAATGGGAGCGCGAGTTTTGGGTGTAGGGGGTGGTGTTTGGGGGTGGTTGGGTGGCGGGTGAGCAACTAGCCAATGGAAGCGCGAGTTTGAGTGTGGGGGGGTGGTGTAGGGGGGTGGTGGGGGTGGCGGGTGAGCAAGTAGCCAATGGCAGCGCGGGTGGGGGGGGTGTGGTGTTGGGGGGTGGTGGGGGTGGCGGGTGAGCAACTAGCCAATGGGAACGCGAGGTTGGGTGTGGGGAGGGGGTGTAGGGGGGTGGTGGGGGTGGCGGGTGAGCAAGTAGCCAATGGCAGCGCGGGTGGGGGGGTGTGGTGTTGGGGGGTGGTGGGGGTGGCGGGTGAGCAACTAGCCAATGGGAGCGCGAGTTTGGTTGTGGGGGGGGGTAGTGTGGGGTGGGGTGGCGGGTGAGCAACCAGCCAATAGGCGCGCGAATTTGGGTGTGGTGGCGGTAAGTGGACCAACCAGCCAATGGGAGCGCAAGTTTGGGTGTGGGGGGGGTGGCATTATTGGGGGGGTGGTGGGGGTGGCGGGCGACCAAGCAGCCAATGGGCGCGCGAGTTTGGGTGTGGTGGAGGGAAGTGGACCAACCAGCCAATGGGCGCCCGAGTTTGGGTGGTGGAGGGGTGCTGGGGGGGGGGGGCGGTGGCACGTGACCAATCAGCCAATGGAAGCGCGAGTTTGGGTGTGGGGGGGGGTTTGTGTGGGGGGGTGGTGGGGGGGGTTGGCGGGTGATCAACCAACCAATGGGAGCGCGAATTTGGATGTGGGGGGGGGTGGCGGGTGACCGATCAGCCAATGGGAGCGCGAGTTTAGGGGTGTGGGGGGGGTGGTTTGTGGGGGGGGGGTGCCGTTAACCAATCAGGAGCGCGCGGCTGGCGCGAGCGGACTACGAATTCTAGATGGCGGGTTAGGGGTCATCGCGAGTGTGTCCGGTACGTGACGTTCAATTGACATTTGTGTTGTGTTCGATAATATCGTTGTTGTTTTAAAGTTTAACATCCCCCGGCTCGAGTTAGTTTTATTTATATCGTGGTCGTTTGTCGGTGTGTGTGTGGGGAGGGGGTTTGTGACAAAACAATGTGAGCCCGATGATTTGTGAAGGTTTAATTTGAGGCGGTTCGCGATTCACGAGGTGGTCAACGTTATGTGTTGACGACCCTTTAACAAACAACAAGGTTTAACTTTCCTCCGGTGTCAACCAACAAACACCAGCAGGTCAAAGCTTTCGCCTGAGTTTACTACGCCGCAATTCCGTGAATTATTAGGGAGGTTTTGTTTTTTTTACGATCAAAATAAGTCAACGGACAACGAACGACGTTTTGTTGTTGTCAGTCTAAACTGAACGTCCGGGTCGAGTCGTGGGTGTTTTATAGTGTACAGTGTAGTGTGTATAGTAGTGTAGTGTGTATAGTAGTGTATAGTAGTGTAGTGTGTATAGTAGTGGAGTGTATAGTAGTGTAGTGTATAATAGTGTTGTGTTTAGTGTACAGTGTAGTGTATAGTGTATAATAGTGTAGTGTGTATAGTAGTGTGGTGTGTATAGTAGTGTAGTGTGTATAGTAGTGTAGGGTATAGTAGTTTTAGTGTGTATAGTAGTGTAGTGTGTATAGTAGTGTAGTGTATAGAGTATAATAGTGTTGTGTGTAGTGTATTGTGTAGTGTATAGTAGTGTATAGTGTACAGTGTATAATAGTGTTGTGTGTAGTGTATAGTAGTGTAGTGTGTATAGTAGTGTAGAGTATAGTCGTGTTGTGTGTAGTAGTGTACAGTGTAGTGTATAGTAGTGTAGTGTATATAGTAGTATAGTGTATAGTAGTGTAGTGTGTATAGTAGCATAGTGTATATAGTAGTGTAGTGTATAGTGGTGAGTAGTATATAGTGTAGTGTATAGTAGCATACCTGTCAACCCATATGGTTTAAACCCGAATTCTTGTCCAGCGAAATTAAGTCTTCAGGTCCATATGGCGTACAGCCGTTTCAATACGGGCAAAACAACGTCTGTCTATTTGTGTTTGTCCCTTGTGATGGGACTTTTTAGGATGAACGTTGATATTTTATAAGCGGCACGGGGGTGACCAATACGTTTTGATTTGGTCTGTAATAAGATAGGGCACTGATAAGGTTAGATTTGAAGCTTTCGTGACTGCAAGGATTCATACTCTTAGGTTTTTTCGGTAAAGTCACGTAGGTAAGAAATAAAATTAAAATTTATAAAAGTAAAATAAAAATTACGACGTTTCGGAGGCAACACAAGCTTCCGTCTTCAGGTGGAACCGTCACAGCACGATTGCTGTATCAAGTAAAGACTTAGTAAAGACTTGATACAGCAATCGTGCTGTGACGGTTCCACCTGAAGACGGAAGCTTGTGTTGCCTCCGAAACGTCGTGATTTTTATTTTACTTTGATTAATTTTAATTTTATTTCTTACCTACGTGACTTTTTCCGAAAAAACCAAAGAGTATGGATTCTTGCAGTCACAAAAGCTTCAAATCAAGATTAAAACTCAACCGGTTATGGTACCCGCCCTCCACCAGCACACTAACCAGAGTGGTGAAGTTTGGCCAAACAACCCGCAGCAGTGGATGACAGATATCGATCTATCACATTGTAAACTGCGTTAGTAGGCTGGCTGAAATCTCACGGTTAAGAATTCCCCGCACAAGTCACGTTGAGGTTGACCCAGCAACAGGGAGTCAAACCTGTATTCTAATTTGATAGCGCAACTCTTCGTTTCAACAGTAAGTTGTCCTTTATATACTCTTTGGTTTTTTCGGTAAAGTCACGTAGGTTAAAAAAGAAAACAACTAAATTAAATCACGACGTTTCGGGGGCAACACAAGCTTCCGTCTTCAGGTGAAACCGTCACAGCAAAATATTGCTGTGTTGCCTCCGCAACGTCATGATTTAATTTGTTTTATTTTTTACCTACGTGACTTTACCGAAAAAAACAAAGAGTATGAATCCTTGCAGTCACGAAAGATTCAAATCTAGAATGTCCTTTTTATGTTTGTGATTATGAGCGTTGTGACAGGTTATAGTGGACTCTCGTGACACACCGTAGTGGAGGTTGCCGAAAGGAATGAATGGGATATACAGACTCCCTTATAACTGTACTCTCTGATATTTACTCCAGTGCTCAATTACTGGATAGCATGAATCCCCCATGTTCCATCTATTGTATACGGACTACTACATATAAAATATAGAATTAATGCGCAATAGTGTAATGTTACAATGCGATGCGCGAACGGCCATGTCTACTATAGGTGTACAGCGTAGTAAAAAAAAAAAAATCTGTACGATGTTATAAAATACATCATTCATCTAGACCCAAATACAAGAGCATCTCAAAATACTTGCGTCATTTTACTTGTCTTTTATACATCAATTAATATCACGCATTTTGTTAACGATTGCTCTCCTACAAACTAGTGTAGTTACATTACTTAATTGCGGTGCTGCATTATTATATACTGCAAAGCTTCCAGTCTTTATTAGGAGTCTCAGAAGAGGTGTGCATCGCATCTGTCTGCACCACAGCGTCAGTCCGTCCCGGCAAGGGCGACGCTCGCGATGCTGCGCTCCAGCGCTCGCTGTCTCCGCGCGGTGTCGGGCCACCTCGCCCACCACAGCCGCTCCATCTCCGCGGCAGGAGGCTCCTCCGTAGGCCGGGTGCAGCGGCTGGGACGTTTCGACGGCTCTGCCGACAGGAGGGCGCCGATGTGTTTGGGCCGCTTCTCCTGCTTCGTGGAGCCACGGGGGACCCCGTGCGCCACGGCCACCAGGACCCTGCATGTGTCGTCACGGCGGTCGGCGCCCCCGGCACTCCTGTGGCTCCTCACCAAGCCCCTGCAGAAGCTGGTGGCCATGATCCTGGGCAGGTACAGAGAACCCAGAGAACATCCAGGAATGGGCAAAGTGTTCGTTTTGTTTAGTAAAAAATTCCCACAGTCATATTCCAATTGTGCAGCATATCACCGTGGCTAAATGAGAAAGATCTTTACTACAGTATAGGTTTTTTGCTGTTGTGATGTATGGACCCTCCGATTCAGTTCCTGAAGAAGCTGAAAGCACGTGGAGTGAAACATCGCACATCATGCCAAACGACAACTGGTGACACCCGAGAACACATCGGAGGGAAAGTATTTTAATCGGTGCATATTATCTATGCATGGATCAAAAGCGTAGACATTAACTAAGGAAATGGAACAAACAATGAAAAGCACGCAAAGAATCGTGGCGAGATCCATTTTTGGTATTGTAACCACAGAACAAAAGTGGAGTACGTTGATTATAGAATGTACACCAGATAGAGGCATCATGCTGACCATTAAGAAACTATACTGGGCTTGGGCAGGTCACATTGCTCGCAGAGGTGATGCCCTTGGTTGACACCAGTGACCAACTTGCTAATCGCACCTCCGATTAGCACGGTTGGCTACGTGTGTTGCGTAAAAGAAGTTCAACATAATGACGAAGTGGCAGCCAAAAGAGAGAGCATGCCTGAGACAACATCCGCCGTAGAAAAATATAACAATTACATCGGCTCGAGAATTGTAGCATCGCACAATTGTGTGTAGGCCATCGTCTGGTTGCGGGCCGATTTACGACCGACGACGATCCTCCCGTGCAGGAGCCTCCGCAAGTGGTGGCAGGGCCTCCCGCAAGACAAGCGCACCCTGCTGCGGGAGTGGGCGTCGCGAAACCGCGGGCGGATCGCGATGGTGGTGCTCGGCATTGGGGGCCTCTCGGTGGCATTCTACGTGACGCACCTGGACGAGACACCGTTGACGGGGCGCCGGCGGCTGCTAATCTTCAGCTCCGAGCAGTT